GCTGGGTGTTATTTTTGACCAATCTATGTCTCTTGAAGGTCACTCAAAAACACTCTTCCAAAACTGTTTTTATCACTTAAGAAAAATCTCCAAACTGCAAAGGTTGGTGTAAAAACATGAACTTGAAATGGTCATCCATGCCTTTATCTCCTCCCATCTAGATTACTGTAACACACTCTTCACATGTTTTAACAAAAAGCCCTTGACCACCTTCAGTCGGTCCAGAACTCTGCAGCAAGGCTGTTTTGTTCTGATCTATGTGAAGCACTTTGTGATTTTCTGTCTGTGATGAGTGCTGTATAAATAAAATGTACTTACTTACTTAAAATGCTGTTAACTCGGGTGTGATGTCTTCCCCAGCTCTCTGACGTTTTAAGTAAATAGAATGCAGCATTTATTTATTTTTATTTAAAAAGGTGGAAATTACTTCAGTATCATAACTAAACAAATGGGTCACTGGATATTTCCTCCACTGGGTCTTTTTAACAGGAAAAAAACCCACTAAACTAAATTTCGGTCCAGCCAGTTAACCCAGTTTTGCTACTTCACGATGCATTTTTATGACTGACCTAGAAACGGTTTCTCTTTTTCAAAAGATAATCTTAAATGTGCATGCAACTATAATTGAGCCTTGTGCTAGTGTGAGTGCGAGTGTAGCTTCACAGTTTGTTAAACTTGTCCCTGTTAGGACATGCCACAGTCCAACTCGGTTTCCCAGCATTGCTCTCACAGATAAATGAGTGCTTCTGTCAACAATGCAAAGCCGTGCTTTTGAAACCTTAATCACGACGGCCAGCTCGTGGCTTTAGGTGCAGATAAGTGTGCCTGAAGCTCTGGGATTTTTCTTTGTCTCAGCTGACAGTGAAGCAAGCCACCACAGGCAGGCAAAAAGCCAGTGTTTATTTTCACCAGTCCATGCCCAGTAACGCTAGCATCTGCCCACCAACACTAAGTGGGGGGTCCCAGGCTTGTCCCCACCACACAGCAGCAGCTCCTAAATTACACTTTGTTCCTTTACCTGCAGACCCACGACAGCAGAAGAAAAAAACACTGCTGTGTTTTACTGGTTCATGCAAATGACCTAATCCGTGGTGACCTCCGCGCTTTCTACCGAATAAGGAAACAGGAGTTGATTGGTGTTTACAGGACAGGAGGAGGATGGGGCATTAATGGCGGAAAACAAAAGCAGTTCACAACTTTCAACAGTGGTCTCCTGCGTGTGTGTGTGTGTGTGTGTGTGTGTGTGTGTGTGTGTGTGTGTGTGTGTGTGTGTGTGTGTGTGTGTGTGTGTTGCTGCCCAGCAACCTAGTAAATAATAAATTCTTTGGCTATTTTTTTTACACTGTGACACTAATAAAAATGAATGGCTTAATAAATGCATTTGAATTATTTAAGTAGCAACTTATTATATTTTGTTGATCATTCCCTCCCCCAACTCCGATTGGTGGAAAATAGGGCTGCTCAATTAATCGAATTTTAATCACGATTACGATCTGAGTTTTGAACGATTATAAAAAACAAAACAAGCCGATTATTTGCTCCTCCCACTTGCGCTGCCCTGAGTTGCAAATGAAGCGCTCCTCCTAGGGTGTTGCCAACTTAGCGACTTTGACGCTATTTCTAACAGCTTCTCAGACCCCCTTCTTGACTTTTTAAATCTTAAAAGTACCTAACGAACACCTCAGAAACATCTCTGGTAACTCTTAGCTACTTTCTGGATAACTGTCGTCGACGTTTCCTGCAGGTTAGCTAAACACTCCGCCTGCGCTCCGGACCGTTCTTCAGGACATTAGGAAAGGGAATGATGTAGTGATGTGTCGGTCGCTAAAGAAACGGCTCTCGGAGCCGGCTCCCTGTTGGATTAACCAGTGAGTGACACACACTGTACCTGCGGGCTCCTGAGCTGCTAAAAACGGCTAAATGTGCGCATGCAGCACGCTAAACATACGTGCAGCTTGCCCCGATTGCTGTGAGACCGGGTTGGGGGGTGGGGGGTGCAGCTGTGGTTGGGACAATTATTACATTAACTGATGGACCTGTAAATAAATAGTTTATAAATAAGGTAGAATAAGTTCCTCACGCTGATAAATAATAACTAATCTCTCTGAGGACACGGTGCTAGTGCACGCTCCTACAGCAGCTTGACACAACTTAAATAAATGTTATGCAACATTTTGTGAACATCAATTTATTTGCGTTTATTTGTTATAAATGCCACTGTATAATTCTTGCTGTCAGTATTTGCAAGATATTGGTATTTGGGTCTGTACTGGTTAGACTTAAATGAGTTAAACCAAGGTCTATAGCCCTTGGGTCATAGACTATGAGCTATAAGTATATTGGTCTTTTTATACTGGGAATCAGAAGTTATTTTAGTGATCATCTTGTTTCTTATTTATTTTTGTCCTGATTGTGCCCTGAGCAATTTTATGACTGAATAAAAACAAATAAAATCAACATAAATAGAAAAATCGTCCTAAATAATTGTGATCTCAATTTCAGTCACCATAATCGTGATTATTATTTTTGCCATAATCGAGCAGCCCTAGTGGAAAAGGTGTTCTGTGATGCAAAGAAGGTTCAGGACCAAAATTTTTATTAAAAAAATAGCTCAGGAATCATCTTCAATAATTGATTCAGAGCCACAGCTCAATGATAGGTTCAATAAGTAGCACTCACCACTGTGTCCTTATGCCAAAAACTCACATTTATCTTCAGTAAACATTACCAGTTGTTCTCAAAGTTCTTGGTGCAATACTAACAAGATAAACAGGGGCACTATTGTTTACAGTTTTTAGCATGAAAAGGCCAGAATTCCTGTAGTGTGGCCAAGATTAAAGCACTAGAACAAAAAAAAAAATCAATGAACACTGGAGTCAGATGCTACTCACAATGCATTGTGACAACCGAAACCATAGCATTCATCTCAGATGAATAGTAGTTTCTAAATAAATATCTGATCAATTTTATGTGAGTAAGGATGCATATAAATGCTTTTTATTCCATTGATGTATAATATTTTTATGATTCAAGAAGTTAAAATAAAAATTTATATTTCTAGTAAATGAAAATGTAACTATTTAGTTTATGGGGCAATTTTAAATACAACATAGTTTATGTTTTCATATTATGATACATTTCTATGCATCAACTACATGTCCTGAATAGAATGGACAATAAACTTAAACGGAGTTAGTGGCCATTTGAATCAAACTTCCCGACAAATTGAAAACAAAGAAGAAGAAAAAAAACATTTTACCAATGGGCTGACAAGGTTTTGCAACATAGTACTTTCTGGGAAAGTGGGAGCTAAATTTAAGAGGCTAAGACTCTTTGATCCATAAAATTAAATAACCATAGTGCCACTCCTTTATGTAGGCTTTAAGTAGGCTATGTAAATATCATCCATCCAGCCGGCCATTTTCAGACACTTATCAAGGGTCTGGCTGCAGGGGCCTAAGCAGGTAGGCTCACACCTCCCTCTCCCCCAGCTACTTGGGCCAGCTCCTCCGGGGGAATCCTAAGGCGTTCCCTGGCCAGCCGTGAGACATAGTCCCTCCAGCATGTCCTGGGTCTCCCTTTAGGCCTTCTCCCGGTTGAACGTGTTCAGTCACTACCCAAAGCTCGTGACCATAGGGCAGGAACGTAGATTGACCAGTAAAGCTTTTCCAACCAGCTCAGCTCTCTCTTCACCACGACAGGTCCATGTAAATATGTCAGTTTAACTCAAGTCAGAAAAAAAAAGCAAATGAAAAAGGCAAAAAAAATTATGCTATAGGGTGAGTTTTTAAATAGTTTAGTAAGTAGCCCAAAAGTTCCCAGAATGCAGTGTGCAGGGTAACATATTGTGGCTTCATGGTATCGCCACTAGGCTTATAGGGAGCCTAAGTCACTTCCGCATCACGGGTCCCCGAAGAACAAAAAAATGAATGCAAGTCAACGGGGCTAAAAATGCTATTTTCTAATCCGCTTTGCCGTACGCCCTGGATCACACATATGTTGTACTGCAATTGAAATGAAAACTAATGATGGGCATTTCGACCATGCCAGTCGCATACTTTGAGATTTATTAGCTTGTTCGTAATTAGCATGACTACACGCTAGAAATCGGCACGTCGCATATGTGACGTCGCCACGTAATCTCCTCTCCCCTAACATAGCTGCTACTTACCACATGACCAGATTTATGGTGGTTCATTCCTCCTGTGGGAAGCCCTTTTCTCTCAGTTTTCTCCGTGTCTGGTTCGATGACGTCACTTTCGTGAAGCGCATTTGTAGTTCTGGACTTATTTTCACACATAACCTAATATATCGTTCCCCCTGTTCAAAAATAAGCACGTTCTTGATATCAAAATGAGTCTTTAAAATTCACGGACATCATATGTGAAATCCATGGCACAAAACAAGCGGAATTAGAAAATAGCATTTTTAGCCCCCATTGACGCTTTCATTTTTTGTTCTCCCGGGGACCCATGATGCGGAAGTGACTTAGGCTCCCTATCACTAAAAACATTATAAATGTGTTTAATGGTTTTTGATGTTGGTGTGCCCCCTCAAAAGAAGATCCCATCTGGCCCCCTCTGTCAACTTTCTGGGGGCGCCCGTGGAAACCCAGCCAGTGCCTGAACTAGGCTGAATGCAGCAGCTCTATGTGGGAGGGACGCTCATGTCAGCCTTAAACTGTAGACATTAAACACGCACAGGCTGCTATGAACACGAAGGCACCCCAGAGTGGAGGGGAGTGTTAGTGGCCTATTTATCCGTGTCATTCTGAGGGGAGCGGGCATTAGCTGTGCGGACACATCGGCTCCGCGCGCACACACGTATTGTTGTCTACCGGAGGCTGCTGCTCGGTTTGCCTTACTGACATCAAAGGCACCGCTCGATTCGTGACTCCGCAGCTCTCCACGTCTGCACACTTCACAAAAACTCACCCACCATTTTATATAAACCACAAGCCCCCAGATCACCCCCCATGCAGGAGGGAGAGCGGCACTAACCTTGGTCGGGTCTCCTCTTATCCACTTGTTACAATGGAAACGGAACACCATGGGTCTCCTGCTTAAGTTTCCTGGCGCTGGAACAAAACCGCAGCAGGCCGAAGCGGAATGGTTCGGCTCGACTGGAGCAGAACCTGTAGCAGGGGCGCGTGTGCGTCAGAAGCCTAGAGGCTTTCCTCGGTGTAGCATCGCCAGGCGACTGGGAAAAGGTTGTGTCTTTAAACAGCTGTTTTCCAAAATGGAGTTGGTCTGCTTGAGCCAATCGCAGCGAGCCTGAGAGGACTCCCGCTCCTCCCGGAGGCTGGAGCCAGATCCACGCCGAGCTCCGGGGACTGCACGCGCACACGTCTCCGTGTCAGAGGAGGAGGGGGTCTTTGTTAGCTTTGATGTCACCGCGGTTCCGCTCAGACCCGCATCAAACATCTGACGGGCGGTGAGATGAAAGCAGGGAAGCCCCAGATGTTTCCGGTGGTGTTTCTATTTCTGGAAAAACGTTTGAGTTTTTCACCACAGCCGCATCTCCATCAGTTCTGATTACAGCTGGTTTCCCTGCTCTAAACGATATTCTTCTTGTTCCAGAAGGTAAGGACAACCCACGCGTCCATCAAGTGTGACCTAATCATCTCTGGAGTTTTGTCCAACTCATCTTCATATCGCTGCTTCATCATTGCTACGGAATACAATTATTCATTTTATTTTAATTACTATGTGTTTTTTTATTTCTGGACACACTTTAGTCTTTTATTAAAAAAAATAAAGCTTTTCTGGGTTTGTGTTTTAAAAACTCTTTGTGAGTAACTGTGTCAAATAGTGTGTTTCCTGCATTTTAACTCATGACTCTCTTCCTAGTGGGAATCTGTCCAGTGATCACTTTTCCCATATGGGTCAAACATCACCACTTAAAAAAAACTTACCAAATAAATCACATTTTCACATACCCTGACTTCTTGTGGCAGCTTTTCTCTGCTTTTACCAGCATTGTCAGTCCATAAGAGCCTACCTCAGCAAAATGCTGATTTAAAGAGTCACATAGCAACTTTTTCATATTTTAAAATCATTTTCTTGAGCCAGTATGTGCTAAAACAACCCTTTGCAGGGCTATCCAGCACATTTTGATTTTAACCCTGCTTCAACACACCTCATTTCAATTAGTATGTGATTAACAGGCTTCTGCAGAGCCTGATGAGCTGCTGCACAGGTGATTCAACCACTGAATCTAGTGTGTTGGAGCAGAGAAACTACTTGCTTGATACAGACTGTTGAGGCCCAGAATTGAATAGCCCTGCTTTATAGGGTTGATGAAAGGCAGCCCCCGCCCGCCCTATCACCCCTGTAGCCAGAATATTCCACCTCCAAATTCAGAGTGCTGCTCCGAGCTGTTGGACTTCAAATAATTGAGCTGACATGGCTGGCGCTGGAGTCTGTTTCCAGCACATTTCCCGCATGTTTTAGATAATGAACACAGCTGATTTGTTTAAAGAGACAATGTGTGGTTTTTACCATGAATTTTTACAATATCCATTGACATTTTGATGAAAATGAGTTTAAAGATTGTTGAAAAATATTGGCACTTCGCAACATATAACCAACCACGAACATCTGTTCTCAAATACACGGGAGCGGGTTTAAGTCTCCGGGCGACGCCATATTAGATGGCATGTTTCCTTCTACGGGAGCCGGTGAGGAAAAAACAAACGTACTGATTTGTAACAAATGGTTACAAAACTTTCACCATTAATAAACATTGTTTTTTACACATCTGCCTCTTCACTTGCTGTCAGTGATGAAAGAGAATCTGATGTGCTTGTCATTTTGCTGGAGGTTGTGCTCTCAGGGATTTTTGACCCTAATGGCCATTTGTTGGTAGGGTCTTACTTGAACACAAAAACACTGCTTGCTTGCAATGATTTAGGTATGTACTGCCCCCTATCGCCAGGAAAAATAAACAGTCACTGTAATTTAAAGTTAAAGCCCCATCAGTTGTCACACACACACACAGGTGTGTGTGCGAAATTTGTTCTCCGCATTTGACCCATCCCCTGGGGGAGCGGTGAGCTGCAGACACAGCCGCGCTCGGGAACCATTTGGTGGTTTAACCTCCCAATCCAACCCCTTAATGCTGAGTGTCAAACAGGGAGGCATTGGGTCCCATTTTTTCAAAGTCTTTGGTATGACCCGACCAGACTTTGAACCCCTGATCTGCCAGTCTCAGGGTGGACACTCTACCACTAGGCCACTGAGAAAGGTCAGTGATGAACCACTCCTGTAGACAATAATGAAGACTGGAAAACATTTCAGCAGTTTGACTGAGGTGTTAAAAAAATGAACACAAAGCAAAAGGATATGTTTGGCTTTTGGTTTTAAATATCAGACACTAGGGGGTGCTAAAAGCAAGCCAAAACTGCCTAGTCTGTAGTCTCCCTAAAATCTGAACTAATATTCTTCCCTCACGTAATCAGAATAGTTATGTACACACACACACACACACACACACACACACACACACACACACACACACACACACACACACATATATATAAAGAATATTTTGGTACACAGAATGTTTCACGTCTGAAAGGCATGCCATGTTTTAGAAGACTTCTCCTGCAACTATCCTAACACGCCATTGATGTTCAGTCATTTTTAAATGACCCATCAAGAATTTTGACCTTTAACCTACTAACCGAGGCCTGCAGAGTTTGAGGAGTTCTCTGGTGTTGTGTATTTTCTCTGAGCACTAGACTGTACCGTATAATGTCACAATCAACTTGCTGGGACATGTTTGCAAAATCTTTAGGGACTCAAGAAGCCAGTTTGAGAAACTCCGACAAGGACAGATGCAAGGCAATGCTGTGAAAATCCCACCGACTTCCCCTGGGACACCAGCATACCCATCCAATGCCAAACATAAAACAAACATGTCACAAATAGCACGTCCTGTATTAGGGCTTTACTTTACCAGCTACACCAACAATAAATACCCTGCAACATGATACAGCTTATTGTTACAGACATGTCAGAAATAAAAACAAACTATTTCACAAAAATACTCAGATTAGCTTTGGACAGCTGCAAGTAGAAAAATGCAAGAATATTGCACATTTCTGTACCCGCGTTCCATTTGGCAAACCAGAGGTTTAAAGAGTCATGTGATCTGCAACGGTCCTTAATTAAGACTGAATCATGAAACAAAGAGTCAAAGTTTAAAAAATATCATAAGGCAGATTATCAAAACTCCTGAAATAATCTAATGAGCCAGAAAAATAAACAAAGGCGCTGAAATGATGCTCAATTCTGAGTTCTTTGTCTTACCCAAAATAGCCACTTATGTCTAATTTCTACAATATTGTCTGACGGACCTGTCCTGATGATCAGGCACAGGAGTATTGCTTTGGTGCACACCATAACATAACTCATACGACACATTAAGGCGACGCTTTTGAAGATTGCACAAACATTTTGGGGCAATTCAATCACACGGCCTGAGTATTCGTCATGATGCTTTAACACTGCCATAGTTAAAATAATATGCGCAATATTCAGAATATTAATTGAATTTGTGATCACCTGGAAATCTTAAAAACAGAAATGAGACTTTTAATAGGTGTAATTAATAGTTTTTCTTTTGCTGCTGAAGCAGCCGTGAATCAGCTGCTTTGTTCTGAGGCAGCATTTAAAGTGTGCTGCCAGTAAAACAATCAGTGGACACGATTTTCCATCCATCAGCAGCCTCTAATGGTAACTTCCAGGTGTTATCACAGGGTCCCCAGACAAGGTTTCTGCGTGCAGATGCCTGTTGGTTTTTCTGACAGGACTGATGAAACCTCACCTCCGCCGAGCACAACAACAAAGATTAGCAGGAGTTTAATAGGAATCATGAGCTAAATGTGCTGTAATGACTCGCTGTTTAAACACCGGGGTTGATTCATGATCTGGCTCATGTCTATTCAGCAGAGAGTCTGGGGCGGCCTCGCTACACGACCGAATGCTGGGCTGTGTGTGAATTAAACACTCCGCATAAAGTAGTGCTACTTAGTAAAATAAATCATGTACAATATTGGCAACTCGGCCCGTGAAAAGTCTCCACACCAGCTGGATGTCCTCTCAGTGAGAAGCTCTGCGCATCAGTAACAGTAGTAGAGCTGGGAGCGAAGCCCCCTGAAGGTGTCCTCGTCCTTCCCACCGGCCCCTTCTTCAAACAGCATGGAGTCTGGGAGCACCACGCCCTCTAGTGGATCAGGCTGGCAGAACTCCACTATGAACTCCTCCTCACAGTCCAGCAGCAGCCTCGTCCACGCCGCCAAGTCCAGCCGGCCGGCGGTGCCGCCATATTCCTCTGGCAGGAACGAAGGCGGGATGCTTCGGTGCAGCGAGCGCAGGTCTGAGCCGTGGAGGACATACTGACAGACAGACGTGTCAGGCACAAAGATAGGAGAAAATTTATTTAAAAAAAACGTTTATCCGGAAATTTTCTAAAGACTTGGTGGAATTGATATGTATAGCAGTACTGAGCTGTGACTGCTGGAGACACAAAAGTTTGAGAAAACACGAGAATTTTCTGTTGGAATCCACAGAATTTTGAAACCACAAATAAACAGTGTGAAATTCCAGAAAATGCTGTGAAATTCTTCCTGCTGTTGGCATTCAGTCCCAAAGTGTCTTAATTACAGACGTGGGTCTCACTCAGAATGTCGGATTCTGGTTTTTGTCTCCAGTCAGTCACAGCCTGGTGTCTTCGTCGCCGTGTCCCCCCACGTTCGTCTCATATTCTGACCAGAGGAAAGTCAGAAAAGTTCCACACATCCATGGCAACTCTGAATTTTTTGAAAGCCAAAATTTGCCTCGCAAATCTTTTGAACATATTCGATATTCCAGCAGCATGACAGTGAGGTCCTGCAGCTCGTGAAATAGAGAAATTATGCAAATGTTTCAAAGAAATCTGGAAACTCTCACAAAAGTGCCTTTTTACACCGAGCTGAGTCGGGTTTGTAGGTTAGAAACATGGTGATGTGGAGTTTTTAGTTGTTTCTGACGCATTTAATCGAAATTCATCGTTTACATGTCTTATAAGTGATTCTTTGAAAACAACAACAGGAAAAGTTGATATAAACGTTCTATCATGCAGAGCTGAGAGGCAGGTGGAGCACCCACTCACCCTCTCTGCCATCTTCTCCTTTAGGAACGGCTTGATTATTGCAAAGATGCCTTTGAAAATCCTGGGTTCATTAACGATGTTAACAGCTTTGATTCTGATCGGAAAACCATCCTGGGAATAAAAACATCGATAATCAGAACACACAGCTGCTGAAACACCTAAAGTGTAAAAAATAGGTGACCCCTAGCTGTATTTACATTTAAATTTGAGCTAGTCTGTAAGTAATGCTTCACATCCACCCTGTTACACCACAACTGAAGATTTCTGTCAGATAATCAAGGTGTCTCACCTGGAGTATGCTCACCACTTTTTTAGCAAGAAAGGGACCTGGATTGGAAGCTTGAGACATTCCCACTCCAGTGTAGTCGGCTAAGATGACAATACCATTCACCTGTGTTTCCTCAGGCTGGATCAGCTTCTCCAGAGTCAGGTAAATGGCCCTCACATTATCAACAAACGGGTAATCGTTTGGTTTCCATTTTCCTGTGAATAATAAAAACTGTTCATTAAAACACATCGAACTTATTTTATTAATCAAAATTAGACGAACTCCCCAAAGGAATAAACAAAAGTCCGACCTGGCCGGAGAAAGAGGACGTATCTGCCATTTGGGTCCGGTCGTGGGAGGACGGTGAGAAAGCCCAGGTCCAGGACATGTTTCACCGTGGACGGCTTCAGGTCCTGGAACACCTCTGGCCAGGCCTTTCGGCCTGCGTGATAATTAAGCAGCAGCTGCAGGGCTCGGTCGTAGTCGAACTTCCTGGCCCGCAGGAAACGCAGAAGGAAGGCATCATCCAGTCGGGTTCTGAGGTTGGGATGTTCCTTTGAAGTGGAGAAAATAATAAAATATTGATGCACCGATATGAAATTTTTGGGCCGATACCCAATATTAAGATCACTCTTATGGTCGATAACCGATATTTGCCGATACCGATATACTGACATTAATGCTTCTAAAAGCAGCAGATTTTGTATAGAATGAAAGTTATTAAAGCTGAATTCACGTTATCATGTACACACACACCACACACACATTTACAATCACTGTCACATGACTAAACAAATACACATCAACCCCCACCCTCTGAAACTGATGAAAAAATGGAAACAAGATGGAAAAAATAATGCTTTTTAATTTCGGCCCAGTTTTATTTATCGGACCGATACTGATATGTTAAAAAATGACTAACATCTGCTGATATACTGTGCATCCCTATAATAAAAACGGGAAATCTTGGAAGCTGCTGAAAGCTGAAAACTAAAACAACTCTGGTTTAATTGGATGTTTTTCTTTTTTTTTACTTTTCAAATAAATGTGATTAACAAAATATCAGTTGCCATGTTGTTCCACAGGCTGACAGACCTTGTGCTGATGTTCAAACATCAAACATCAATGTTATACCAGAATAAATCACTGTTCGCCAATTGCTGTTCAGCTGCTTTTTCCACACTAATGCCACACACAGGATGTCTTGGTCCTGTTTATGAGCACCAGTGATGTCTCTGAAGTACATCTCCACACCTTAAGAATCATGTCTCTCAGTGCTTGGACATCTCGAAGACGCCACTCTGGTTTTTCCTGGAGCTCCTCTCGTGCCTTGGCCTCCAGTTCTGGAGTCAGGGTACATGAATAGATGGGTGGAGGGGGTCCTGGGAACCAGCTGTGTCCTGCAGCTGGTCCATGGTCCACTGGTGGACAAATGAGGCTGACGGACTCGTACTGATCAGCCATGGATAGACTCGATAGACCTGGTCAAAGTGGAACAAGCGAGAAGCAAAAAGACATGGGACTAATGGGGAAAAATATCAGCAGATGCTAAAGTTTCACTTGTTCTGTTGCCTTCATTTATAGCAAAGAATGTAAGGCCAAATCAATCAATAGCCGTTCAAAAAGAATCTGTGTAAAAGGCAACTCAGGAGTAAAGGATTTGTCAGTAAAGCAGCAAATTCTACTAATCATTTTGTTGACTGTATTTTGCATAAATAATCGGATTTTACTAAGTAATTTAAAACTGTAAAATAAATATAAACGTGTAAAATAAAATAAAGCTGTGTTCAATTAACGATTAGCAGCTGCGGAGTTTGCATAATTAAGTAAACATAAGCCCAGAAAATAAAAAATAAATCAGATACTCGATAAGAACATGACCGTTCCATAAGCATCACGGCAGCGTTGAAGTAATGAGCCGCGTCTGCTAAACACGACCTGGCCGAACAGAACCAATGCGACAGAAGGGTACAGGTAGGGTGAATGAATACGACCTGGGAAGTGACTATTAGCCTGAGAAGCAGACTCGGAAAATACTTTTAAAAAACTATTGCACCAAAAATCACAACCTACCTGTCTGAAAAATCCCTTTTTTTCCGGGTAGAGAAATAGAGCATTCCCATTGGTCCATCTGCATCACGTGACGTGCTTCCGAAACAGTGCGTCTGTTGTTATGACGTCTGAGATGTGTTCATGGTCCATCGAAAATACGTAATTTATTGCTTTAGACGAAGAAACTGTTTTGTTAACTTAAATTTAATGTTTTTATACTTTTAATTAAAATTCATTCACAAGATAAAATATCACAAGGACAAATTAAATTTATTTTTTGGCATTCATCCACATTTGGCTGAACCTCAAGCAGGATAGGTGTGTCCAGGGAGTGGCCTGGGGTAGCACAGTCACTGCATGCCACACTTGACATCTGACTGATTCCCTCTCACTTCCTTTTAAACTGACTTTACATTGTCCACAAAAGGCTTGGGGGTTACAAAACTTAATACAGTAGATGGCAGCATGTACCTTTAACAGTGTTTACAGCCCCAGGCTCATAGAAAATGCATGTATTATTTTTATTCTTCTTTATTATTTTTTCACATTGACATAAATGGTATTTAGAATCCCAGTTCCGCCCCACTCAAGTTGGTGGCGGTAATGCACCAAGAAATAGCTTGCTAACCACCACAAAACAGTTCAAAGAGGAAGGCTCAGTGCCAATACTTGCTTTGCATCCTCTGCGCTGTGTCCAAATTCAGGGGTTGCATGTTCATGATTACCCATCCTCATTGGTTTCAGGAGAACGTGTTCTTCCATGACCGGCTAGACCGGATGTTAACTGCTGTGAATAGGGCTTGGGATCACATGTGATTACGCATAGCATTCTGGGATATGCGCAGAAATGTTGGCGGCATGACGGGTATAAACAAACCGTGAAAACAAACAGTAAAAACAATGTACACCATCAGTAACTTACCAGAATAAAAATACTCTGGAAGGTGATGTTTGGTCACCTTATAGCTGCGATCCAAGCGAGCCGACGAGACTTTGTTATTCTAGATACTTGTTCTCTGTGGTAATGCCTCCAACGCACAACACAGCAATGCTTTACCATAGTTATGAAACATAACCGATCAAATTAATAATAGAATAATTTAAGCTGCAAGGACGGGACTGGGCGAGCTGTTTACAGTTAGCCTAGTGAACTAGACCAAATTCTTGCTTTGCAAAGTTTGGTCTAGGCATGCTCCATTGGAACCTCTGCAGCTCCTACCAGGACTCTGGCTAGCCAATCACAACTCTCTAGAGGGGTTTCAAACACATAAAGAGCTGTGATTGGTCCATAATGGTGGGCCAGTCATAGTGCTCTATCTGCTTAGTGAACAAATCACAGAGCTTTATCCGCTTTGTGGGCCAATCAGGGCACTCTATATGCCTGGTGGGTGAAGCAAGAGTATGTTACATTCATTGTCCAGCAGCATGCGGAGGTCATTTGAAAGACAACAGTAGAACCCGCCCCACAACCGAGAGCCATCAATGGAGCGTGGCCAGACTAAATAATACATTTATTTAGTCTGGCTTGCCAGGCTAGTTTACAGTAGTAACAAGCAACAAGTAAGGTCTCACATGCCTCCAACAGGGCAAACATGTCGGTGATGACATCACAATCACAATTCGGATAGTCTAGCTTTAAATAATAGTCCCATTGCCCTACTTCGGCAAATGTTGTCCTGTCACCTAGCAACTGCTACTGCACTAAGAAGGAATGGAGCTCGCACATGTTTTAAACTTTTCCTTGTTTTATTACAGTTTGAAGCGCTACAACAGCTGTACCACGATGGTGCGACGGTGGCACAGGAGTCAAGTGCTCGCCCTGTAATCAAAAGGTTGCAGGTTCGAGTCCCACTCAGTCTGTTGCTGTCATTGTATCCTTGGGCAAGACACTTAACCCCCTTTGCCTGCTAGTGGTGGTCAGAGAGACCAGTGGCGCCAGCGATCGGCAGCCTTGCCTCTGTCAGTACTCCCCAGGGCAGCTGTGGCTACGTAGTAGCTCATCCCCGCCAACGTGTGGATGTGTGTGAATGGGTGAATGACTGATTGTGTTGTAAAGTGCCTTGGGGGGTTCCAGGGCTCTAGAAGGCGCTATATCAAACACAGGCCATTTACCATTTACCACCGGCGACAGCATTTTTTCAATGTCAGGCTGAGACGCAACAATACGCTGGTATAGTATTATTTGCCTTCGTTTTAAGTCTAAAGCTCTTACCAATTTCATGTCAGCTTAAGCTAGCTTCATGCCATGAGTAATTTGGGGTACTGAAAAACACGAAAAAGCTGCTTTATTTCATATCCATCTAGGTGATGTCCCACAGTGCATCTCAGGATTTATAGAGTTGAGGAGACTACACCGCACCAGTTCTCAAAATTGGGGAAAAGAAGAATGAATTTCTAGACCGCATTCTGAGCACTCTTTGAATTTGGACAGTATTCGTTGCAGCGCTGTGATGTCACTGGTCTTTAAATCTGACCCCTGAATTTGGACACAGCCATAGTTTTCTGTGAAGTGCACTTGGAGGAAGTGAACAGAAGTATACAAGTGTGCAAATATTGGGACATGGAGCATTGTGTCATCGACCACAATGCAAGCTGGGATGGGCTTGCTGGTTGTGCTACTTTTAAATTTACTTTTTTAAATTAATTATTAACAACTTTCAAACAACATATTATTTGACATAATTTACATTCATTGCTGTCCACATTAAATCCAGTTCAGGCCTTAAACATAGCATAAATATTGTTTTTAATTTGGGAGAAATTTAGATTTAACTTTAACAAAACTAGTTACTAAGAAAAATAACCTGTACTTATTTTAAATCAAGATGGCAGCAGGAGCCTGTTATTGGCTGTGGGTGTCCAACAGTATCTCGGTAAACTGAATGTGGTCACTTAAAAACTGATACACATGTTAAACATAAGTGTAGGGTTTGGTTTTGGAGGTCGTAATCTTTAACACATAACAGAGGTTGCAAATTCAAAAACGTTTTGTGAATCAGGGACTGCCGAATTATACAGCTGTAACTGGAATTTATTAAAAAGTGTTCACGTGTTATCAATACATAACATAAGTGTATGTGTCATCCTGCACAGGTGAAACTCAAAAATGTAGAAAATGGTGAAAAACTAGTATATGAGATATACTAATTTCATGCAACGTGAGATATTTTAAGCCTCATTTTTTTGTAATTGTGATATTATGTCTTACAGCTTATGAAAAGCCCAAATTCTGTCAGGAAAATGGCGGATGTGTTTGTAGGACCCATAGGTCATAGACACAAAAGGAGGCTAAACAAACAGGGACCTGACAATACTAAGATACATAGAAAGGGGAAGGGAAAACTAAGGAAATAAAATAGGCTGGGGGATGGAAATGGCAGGACTGGTGATGAGAAATAAATTTAAAACACCTGAATGATTCATGAGGGGACCGGAGACTGGGGAGATGGGGTATGGAAGGGACAAGGAGGACAAGGACACCTAGGAGGGAGAAAAAATGGAATGGACAGGGGAGACAACGGACACAGCACACGAGAAATTCAAAATCTCAGACAATTAGAATATTGTCAATAGGTTCAATATTCTAGACTCAGTGTTACACTCTAATCAGCTTATGAATTTAAAACATCTGCAAAGGGTTCCTGAGCCTTTAGATGGTCTCTCAGTCTAAGGGTGTTTCTCAGCACCTCGCCTTAATGTCTTGGTCTCACCCCGGTTGCCTAGGAGATACGTCATCAGGAACCACCGAGGCGTCTTCCAATGTTCATGTTCTACCAAGGTGTGTGTTCTCCGTTTGTTAGCCGTTTAGCTAGCTGAGCAAGGATACACGGGAGGTGTCTTGTAGCCTAGCCTTGGTCAAAAATTTCCCAGAATACACCGCGATATTTTCAAAAGGATGGCGGACCAGAAGCCGTCAGCTACTTCGGGGGCAAATTTCAAGTTTAAAAGTAAGTCAACTAATAACATTTTTTTTTCTTTTAGATCTAAAGAAGTTGTCTATGGTTGGTTAGTTGCTCAGCAGTTGCAGCTTTGGTGGCTAGCGAGTAGTGACTCGCTTACATATGTAATTTAACAAATATATACACAATTTAAAACGTAAAAGGCTCATTATATATTTATATTGAAACTTATACGTATAAAATATAACGTTATCTCCCGTGTCACGTGACGTTAAGTGACCACTGTGGAAGCCGCGGTCACGTGATGCAAGTCTGTTCCGTTTAACCATTTTCTTTGACCGAGGAAGGACCGTGTCCTCATAAGCAAGGCGCCTGGCCTTGCAAGACATCGCCTCGCGAGGCCAGGCGCCTTGACATTGAGAAACACCCTAAGTTGAGCACTTCCTTCCTGGCCCAAACCTATGAGCGTCCTCCTCCAGCTTCTCCTGGGGTTATGGGAACGCGCAGTGGCCATTATTGGGGACATAAAGCGCATGTTCCACCAAACCCGTCTCCTTTCAGAAGATCATTTTCTACACCGAACCAGGTTGGTTTCCATAGATTTGTCCCTCTTATTAATGAAAATAACATCAGAAAACATCATTGTTTAAATGAAAGCTTTTAGTTGATCTATAATGGGCCCTTTGTAACCTGTAATATATTTCTTTTGACTGTTTCTATTAACAGGCTTTTATTTATTGGGAGCTATGTTAACCAGGGTTACATTATGTTTTTAAGAAACTAAAACGGGGTTTGTGAGTGCGATCATGAACGCAGCTTATCATCTACTCATTTTCCCCACTTGGATCATAAAAAGGTGTCTTTGAAGTTGCTGCGCCTGCTCTCTAGAATGATTTTATGAGACTTTATCAACGTATCAGTGACCAAGCAGCGCTGCCATGTCGGACCAGTTCTCTTCTAGCTTTTCGTTAACATTCCTCCACATCCCTCAGTAAACTCTGCTTTTATGACCCCCCATAAAAAAACACAATCTGGAGAAAACACAATGTAAAAATAGACATAAAAATTTATTAAGCCAGTTTCACATTGTAAGGCAAAACATTCCTGTTTTTTAAGGCAGTACAGGTTACAAGGCACAATTTAATCTGGCAGTTAAACCATGACAAAGTACTAAACAAAAATACAATATATATGTATATATGTATATATATATATATTTTTAAATAAAAAAACATCTCACTGGGAAACTTCTGAAGCGTTTTCTGCCTGCGATGTTTTAAAACGTGTTAGTTTGGTTATTTTACTTAGTTTTGAACATCTTACTGGTAAATAATCAGGAGGCAGAAGGTTTGGTCACAGGATAAAATATAAATTTGAGAGCTTCTTTCTCCTGAGCTTATTATTGTTACCATTAAAACACATTTAAACATGCTACATTAAATGTATGAACATGTAGGGCTTGTTGTAACATTTATTTAAGGGTCACACGACCACGCTGCTGCGTCCAGCAGTTACAACCATCTTCCTATGAACAAGCATGTCCCTGAAGGCTAACTCATTTTTGATGAAGCTACTTTCATGTCCTGGTCGAGTTAACAGCCTCGGTGCTGAATGTGTTTTACACTTTCAAATAAAAAGCTGGAGGATCCAAAGTGTTGTTAGATGGCCTCTTGCTTCGTGATGGTGGGCTGAGGGATGGAGGTCGGCTGCTTGGGCACGGTGGCTATCACCCCCTGTGGCATTTTGTAATGTTCCGACCCAGAGGCAGTAGGTGGAGACGGGATGGGAATTTCAGGAGTGGCTGGACAGGAGAAGACAAAAAGCGGGTTAGAGGCAGCGCGACAGAGACGTAAATTCAGAAAACTGAAATGCTTAAAGAGCAAGTCACCCCCTACCATATTCTTACTCCACTCCCACTTCCTGTTTGAAAAATGCAACAAATGCTGTTGCCTAGCAGACCGAGAGGGCAGAGCCGCTAACAAATTCACACTCACACAGGCTCACGAAGAATTGTGACATCATAATGTACCAGTTTACATCATAGCATACCTCTTAGCCAATAGCAGTGGCAGATTTAAATTCAAATACAGTGCAGAGTTTTTACCTGACAACGGCACAACACTGCCAGTTTTAGGCAGAATATTTAAATTTTAACTAAGATGCACTGAAGTGCCAAATTATTTACTACACGTGTCTGCAGCACGATTAGACACTCGTTTATTTAGTTTATCAGCAAAAAAAAGTTTATTTGTGGGTGACTTGCTCTTTAAAGAGTGTTTATGTGGAATTTCCCAGCACATTATGAATAAACCAGATTAGTTTTGATGGAGAATTTAAGGGATTATTCAGCTGAGCCGGGTGAACCCGGCTCGGCAGCAGATGGAGCTGAAGGAGAACTGTTCGCTCGTCTGTCTTTGTTTAAAGGGTGTTGGCTCATCCTAACTCGGATCGATGGTTCTGACGACGTTTTCAAACCTGACTGGACAAAAACTATAAACAGCAAATATCTTACCTCACTGAAAGAAATTCCCCTAAAACCATATATTTTGGTCCTTTCAGAAAACCAGCAGGCTTTTTCTGTTTATTCTGACACTGATTTTAATTTTTCTCTTACTGAGTTGCTGTGATTGGCTCTTTGAACACCCTCAGCTCTGAGAAATAGGGATTAGTTTCAGTTCTGAGATGTTTCAGTGGTTTCAAAGCTACTAATCTCCAGTATTTCACATTAGTTAATTTAAGTTAATTCTTTTTATAACCTTTTTACCACCAAAGGGTGTTGCTTTAAGACCCTTTAGAGTATAGAACTAGCCTGAACTGATTTCAAGCCCTCTCAGTGGCGATGCTCATCAGACAGACTCACAGATTTGACCGTTATGGATTGGCGTTGCCATGTTGCTGGTCACTATAACGTTACTGCTGAGGTGCTCCTGAACCAGGTGTGGATGCAGGGAGTGGGGTGCATGCGGCGCTTCATTAGCTGAACCTGAGAGACAAAACGCAAACTCACAATCAGGGATCGTCTCAGACTTTATGGTCCGGAAATAACTTTACAGTGTGAAGAGGGACCAGTGGTTCCGACCTCCGAGGAGCATCTCTTGCAGCAGGTTGTCGATCTTCGCCATGCCGAAGAGTTTGACAAACTGGATCTGCTCGATCATTTGCCAGGTGATGCTCTGTAGAGTTGGCAGCAGGAGGAGGAGCTCTCCGAAGCGGCCCCGGGAATCGTACTGCCTGTCGTTGATGTAGTCCTCCAGGCTGACCTGGACCTGATATCGCATTCTCTTGATCTTTCCTGGGTCGCTCAGACCTTTAGCATCTGTGGGAAAACAGCAACAGGGATGTTTATGCAGGAAAGTGTGTTAGCAAGTAGCAAACTGAACTCCATTCATGCAGGTTTCTGAGGTAAACATGTATGCATGAAAAGGCGCTTGGAGACCTGGGTCAAAGAAAACAATGGCCTTCAGGCAGGCGTATTCATTATCATCTATCTGCAGCTCCTGGAAAGGAAGAACCAGCTCGTCCAGGATTCTCACGGCCACCCGGCCCACCTCCAACTCCGGACAGTTTCTAGGAATGATATAGTCATTTCCTGCAGAAGAAACACGTGAATTAAAGGCAAAATCTCTCATAAGGAACCAAATCTATCTGTTCTGTAACACACTCTGTTGTGTGCTAGTTTTACCTAACAACAGGATGTCTTTGTAGAGCATGGACCTCTTGGCTGCACCGAGCAGAAGATGTTCTCCTGCATGAGCTCGAAGCAAAGCTACCTGGAACACAAGTAAAAGAACAAGACTGACATTTTATGGAAGTTTTTTATTTTTTTCAAAGATGGCGAGCAGAAGAAGCTCTGGCAGGAGACCCAGGTTCTCACACTGCATCAGCAAATCAGTTACCAAGGCCCAGTGACCACAGTGTTAATGATTCTGCACTTTTCATGGAGCAACTCAATCTTTGAAAACCAGCTCATCATATTCTAACTCAGGATTAAATACATTAACCATTCTGGTTGAAGGTTCGAGTGTGAAGATCTACATCGCCTTCAGAGATCCGTTCAGGCTCAACCCTCTGTTTTAAGTCAGCTGAACTTTTATTTTATGGAGGAAAAGCAAATGGTGGTGGTGGGGGGGTGTCTATAGCCGGACTAGTTGATGAGTGACCAGAGTGGTAACAGCTCTGTGTACACTGTGTCTGGGTCTCACCTGGTCATCCAGGGGCAGGTCGCAGAAGGCCGGGATGTACTTGGCCCACTCTACCAGGACCAGCAGCTGCTGCTTCATAGACTCACAGACGTCTGTGATGGCGGCGATCTTTTTGGTCCTTATGTCTCCGTTCAGGATGGGAGCGGGGGAGGTGATCTGCACGAGGAAACACGTGTAAGTGACAGCACGTTTCAGCCGTCCGGTGTCACGTCTGTCCTGGGCTTCACCTGTCTCGACAGGACATCGGCCTGAATGAGCGCGTTGATGGACGGTAAACTGCTGTCTTCGTAGCTGGACCTCCTGGTGCTGATTCTGTCTCGCTCATTTTGTACAGCTGAAAACACAAAGACACGGGAAAATGATAAACGGTTTGTGTTTCTATAGCGCCTTCTAGAATCCAACCTCCAAGATGCTTTACAACACACCAGTCATTCACCGTTTCACACACACACACATTCACACGATGGTGGTGAGGAGCTACATCACAGACACAGCTACAGAAACGGAGGTGAAGCGTCTCGCCCAAGGACACAACCGCCGAGTCAGACGGAGCGGGGCTTGAGCCTGCAGCTCTTCGGTTACTGGGCGGGCACTTAACTCCTCTGCCACCGTCGCCCCTTTTACACATTTACCGCCTCCATCATCAGCTTAGCTGACCGAGTTTATGCCTAACAAAACCAAAAGTTGTTCCAGGTGGGTTTTTTTTCCCCACACCCAAAGTGAGATCCTGAGACAAAAAAAGATTAAGTCTTCTCAGGTCGTCGTGTTTATCAGTATACGACCATTATTGCTCTGAAATGTTTGCTCAGCATAAGCTGGCCAGAGACTTGAGCGCTCTGCCGAGTGAACATTAACAAAGTGGTGCTCTCCTCTGGATTGCGACACCAGCAGACCAGTTGGATCAATTGGATGGAGACAGCTCCATCTGTGGAGTGATTTCCTTAACACGCAGAGAATTGTTTTACGTGGTTTGTTTGTTTTTGGTTTATTTCAAACGGATGAATGTTTCATACCTTCTTTCTTCATGCCGGCTCTGAAGCATTTCTTCAGTCTACAGTATCTGCATTGATTCCTCTTGTCTTTGTCCACAATACACTGTCTGCTGAACCTGAGAATGGATGGAAAACGTGTTAGGATGTCTCTAAAAGGAGTTCTGTTAATGCACATTTGTTCTGATATTTGGCGTTACTATATTTGCTATAATTTTAAAGCAAATTGCACAATAATTAATTTAAGGAAGAAGGTAACTCGAGTGGATTTTTATTTACATTTTCCAGCACGACACGTGTCCTCACCTGCACGAGTACATGTGGTTCTTGCGAACACTTCGCCTGAAGAAGCCCTTGCAGCCGTCGCAGCTGGAGGCCCCGTAGTGTTTGCCTGTAGCCCTGTCTCCACATATGGCACACAAGCTGCCCGCTGCCAGGTGGCCGGTGGCGTTCATGTTGGTGCTTTCAGCCGGCGAGTTGTCTAACACACAGCAGAGAAGCACAGAAATCCAATCAGATGGTTGGATTGTTCCATTTGAAGCTTGAGTTTGAGTTTGACTCTGGAAGGTGTGAACGAGCAGAAAAACGCAAACGAGCTTCACCGCAAAGGATCAAAGCGATCGTCATGAGTGCCTCAGATAGTTAGAGTCAATAGATGGTTGAGGTTTGATTACCTCTCAATAGGTAATCAGTGGAAACAGTCATGAGCTCAATCAATCAGAGCATGTGTCATGACACACTGTAGAAATGTGTAGGATAGATTGGACTGACCCAAGGAGAGGATCTGTGTCTGTTAGAAATGTCATGCCTTTCATAGCTCTTCCCTCTCTTTCCCATCGGGAATTTTAGAATCGGGACCCAGCCGTGCGTCATGGGAGACTGCCTGTATAAATATGCCTGTGTCACAGTAAGAACGCAGCAAAACGCTGCATCCTTTCTCTTCAGTTCAAGCTCTGTGGGAACAGACGGTTTGTAACGAGAGAAGGGAGATCATAATACACCGGCTTTAAAGTCAGTCCGCTGACACCACATCAGTCTGCAAGCTGAAGCAGGTCAGAACCGCTTGGAGCAGCTGACCCAGGAGCGATGCAGCAATCTCATAAACTTGAATCCCTCAGTGAGCTGATAAAAGAGGACCACTGCGGAGGGTCAGCCCTGAGAGTGAGGCCCAGATGGACAGTTGACCCCTTTTATCAATTTGTGCCAGAGCTCCCCCCGACCTCTCCTCAACAGTCTTAAATCAGTAAAAGTTTCAAAGTTCATTGTCAGAGTTGCATATCTGGGACTCACCTGCGCCCAGTGGGAGCACTTGCATGTTTTCGAACTCCAGCGTGGTGTAGGCTGGGTCCAGAGCCTCGCTGTAGTCTGCCATGTCCATGTCTATCACTGGTTTGGGCAAACAAATTCTCAACTACCTGACAGAGGGGCAGATAGACTTGTCCAAGAAGCTGATGCCCCCCTCCTCCTCCTTCTTTCTTTCTTTTCTCACACCCCCACACACCTCTGTTACCCCCCTCTTCCTAACTCTTCTCGGGCCTGGCTCCACCTCGTAGCAGGACAGGTCTCAGGCCCGACTGAGTGTGATGAGAAGACAGCAGCGGAGTCAGTGACTGACATCAGCTCTCCTCCGGCCCTCGCGCAGCTAACCATCCGAGAGGTGGAGTGTCTCGTCCCTGGTTGATGGTTAACTAACTGATTTAGTGGTGAATCACTGAGAGTTTCTTTTTTTTAGGAGACGGTGGGACTTCAGCCACCTCTGCACACTCCTCTGTCAAATAGAGGATAAACATTTCCTCCATGGGCATTAAGTTGGGTCAGTCTCAGCCGCAGCTCTTTGAAACTTTAACTTTATTTCTAGGCTGAGACCAGGAGTAGAGGGAGGTCGCCGAAGTAAACAGGATAGGACAGATTAACCTGTTTCAGATTTTATTCTGCTTTAAAATTAAAAATCACAGTAAATTATTTTTTTTTATTTAAGAAAAATGACATTTTTGTGGTCCAACGGGGACTTCTAACTTACCACCAACACGTGTGTTAAATGCAGCCATAATGCTTTTGTCTGTCTGCTTCTCACCTAAACTGCTGAACAGATTCAAACGAAGCTCTCAGAATATAACTACAGGATGAAAATAAACAACTGATTAATCTCTGGAGTCTTCCAAGATGGCTGCCACTCATGGATGTAATTTTCACTTTAGAAATGGGGGGGGACATGGGGGGGGGGTGTATCTTTACAATATAGTCTCATGGGAAACCGGCTTCAACACCAACAGTTGTTTTCTGCTTGGTCCTAGAGCTCAACCAGTGTCAATTTAATATAGCGTAATATTGTTTTTGGACGGTAAAAAGTGCAGGGGTCAAAACTTGACTTTGGAAAAAGTGGGGGGGATATGTCCCCCCTGTCCCCCCCCCCAAAATTACGTCCATGCTGCCACTGCAAATCAGCATAAAAAATCTCAGTGGGTTTAACAATCTGAGAGCACATGGATTCAAATGTTTCCGATCTGGAATCAGCGGAATTGAGCCGCATTAGCCGGGGAACTGACGCTTGCTAAAGCAAGGTGATGTCATAACATACAGACTGACCCACAAGCAGCTGACCTTCTGAGGTTTTACCATTCAGGACAAATCTAAGGAGTAGCCTAACAGCTTCAATAATGTGCTTATCTCAAATCCAAAGCTGATAATTACAAGGTGAATATTCACCTGTGCTCAGGTCATCAAACACTGGTGGTGCGCTCACACAGTCTCTTAATGCTGTTGCAATGTATCCTCAAAAGTCTTAATGAAAGGCTGAATTATAAAACCAGTAGAAGTATGAGTGGACATGGGAGATATCTGACATAGTGAGAAATAAAGCAGATAATATGGATTACTTTAACTTTAGTATTGGTTTAAGTCAATGATTAATATTACCAAAAATGATGTAGTTAGTTAAAAATGTGGCTATTTGTGTTGTGAAGTCTACCTGAGCCATATAGCTCCAAATGGGGCGGGGCTTTCTCACCTGTTCTCATCATTTTGTGTTTTTAAGTATTGTATAAATCACTGCTGCCAAAGGTCACAGCACACTAACCTTGATCAAACCGCACAGTTTGATGGCTAGTTTTTCACTCCTTTTAAAAGCTGACAATCGTGAAAACAGACGATTACGACACGATTGTGAGCAGGATGGTAGAGTGAGTTTCACTGCTCACTAACACCACTCATTTAAAGCCAAATAAGATAACTTATGTGTCAGGGAGGAAATGAATGAAAGCGTTTAAACATCATTATTTCCTATTTCATGTCCATGTCTGATGTAATATTGAATACTGGTGTTTCTCAACGCTTGGGCAGTTTCCACGTGTGACTTTTGCAACTCATCCTGAATCTGAATCTGAGTCCTCCTCTGACAAGCGACAGCAAACAGTAGTCTTGTATTTGAAGAGAAAGTGCCAGAGCACAGCCACAGGTCAACGATCCCAAGTTCAGGCAGACCTCAGAGGCAGTAAACCTCATGTAGGGGAGCTTGTTAACCAAGCAGTCAAATTATACGAAGCCATCGTAAAGTTATTTCTTCTTCCAGTAGGCAAACACCACAACACGCCTGCAGACTTCCGCTGAAGATCTGAGGATGATGCGTCCCACTGATTAAAGACTGACAGATTAAAGAAATTCAATCAAAAAGGAAAATGGGTGAAAACTACTGAAGATTTCCTTTTCTCCTGGACCTTACAGTCCTGATGTGATTAACTCAGTGGAAACACCCCAGATAAAGGCAGCCTTTATACTGACCCACTGGTGATCAGAGTGGATCAATCTCAGCTCCATCTCAACATGTTGTTTTGTTTAAGTGTACAGAGGTCATCAGTTACAACATCACTCCACGTTCGATCCGTGCTGCTCTTTTTTTCCAGTGGTCATATTTGCTTAAGAAGTGTGCTGATTATTTCAAAGCACTGAGTGCGTGAGCAGGGGGTGAGGGGTGGGGGAGGTGGGGCTGTAATTGAGTCACTCACAGCAAATCTTATCTTCCATGTCATTAAAGGTCTTTTATCACAGCTCACATCTTAAATTTCAGCAAAGTCCTCAAGGAACAGTCGTATAGTGGATTATAAAGTATAATCTGTAGAGTTATGGCTTTCTTAATCACAAACTGACAAATTCTTCTCGTGAATTCATTAGGGCAGCTCCCAAATGTCCTATCTGATTGCGGAGGTGGAGAGCTTGTGTGAACACGCATCAGTACACGACCTAGATTCCTCACATGAGGATTACCCTTCTTTTGATCATGATTCAAAACTGCAGGAACCAGGCTGGACCCTTCTGCGTCAGAACCACCTAAATTCATGTCATAGCAACAAGGTGTTGAATGTTCCTCCGAACACGACAGCATCACACAGCTTGAGTTGAATTGAAATTTTTTAAATTTAGTCAAAACATAATAATAATATAATCAATAAAATATTACGTTACATTTAAAGTGACTGAAAAGGCTCGGGCCAAAGCAAAATGCTTATATTCACGCCTGTCCTTTTTAACCACTTAAACAAATTAATCTAATCCTTCAACACATAAATCTGTACAATTTTAGCAAAATACAAAAGAAGAAGAAGAGAAATATACACCATTTAGTCAATTAAGTTCACAATACTCTTACATTTACAACACAACTTATAAACTCTTGTAACCGTCAAAAATTATCTTCAAAACCATCCTTTCAAACAACTAAAATGTACCACAAGTTCTTACATTTACACTGGCATTATTCCAAAGTTTAACCCCCACCACAGATATGCATTTCCTTTTAATTTCCTTTTTTGCCAAAGGAACATTAAATTCATTAATATCTCTAAAATCATACTTAGTTTCTACACAAGAAAAAAAACTTTTGTATACTTTGCTGAAGTAACTTTAATTTAGCTTCACACATTATTTGCATTATTTTATAGTAAACTAAATCATTACATTTTGTGACATGTGATTTTAAAAACAACGGATGTGTATGTGCCAAATAATCTGCCTTATTAATAATACGTATTAGAGAACTATTGCACTAACTAACGTTTGATTAGTCAGTCCCCAGACTTCCTCGCAGTGTGAAATGTACGGTAGTATCAGTGAACATTAAGTAACGCTGCATAATTCAACATATGTCTTGATTTGTACAGTATCGCTGTAATCTTAGAAAGTTTTCCTTTAACGTAATAAACATGCTGTCCCCATTTCATTTTATGATCAATAACCACCCCCCAAAAATGTAATTTCTGTCACTCTTTAAATTTCATCATAACATATTTTTATGTTAATTTCCCTGTCAAGTTTCTTTTGATTACCAAATAGCTTCATCCATGATGAGAACCTCCCATTCCACCACATCCCAAAGGTTCTTGACTGGACTGATCTGGTTGTTGTTGTTCTGGTAACCAGTCAGAGATGATCTGAGCTTTGACATGGTGCATGATCCAGCTGGAAGTATGGCCGCTAGAAGACGGGTCCATGTGGTTGCTAAGAGATGGGCATGATCAGCAGCAATAATAGGCTGTGGTGTTTAAACCAGACTCGGGTGGTGCTAGGAGGGGGTCCAAAGTGGGATAAGACCCCCACACTTAATTATGAGTCAATTTCTCAGAGAAACACTTGGATTAGAGCGTTCGAAGGTGCTAGCTTTTCCAGAATGCTCTCTAAGAAAACAACAAATCAAGCTTAGCCTGGCAAGTATTCTATATAAGTGAATATATAGTCTGGCCACGACCCACAGGGAAAGCTCAGTCATGGGGCGAAATCTGCCGTTGTCTTTCAAACTACATGCTATTGGACACAAACGTGACACACTCCCCACCACAGATGTCAGTCACTGGGCCGGTCTGCAACGCACAGTTGAAGAAGACACAAATACATCGGTTTTCTAAATGAAGGACTTAAATACCTCTCTTGACTCTAATAAAAGCCCAAGTTTAAATAGTCCAAAGTTGATGCCTGAGCCATTTCAAATGAGCCGTCGCCATCTTAGGTTTTTTTAGCTTTGATGCAGCATTATGCCCACCAAACCAACAGAGAGCTGTGATTGGCAAGGCACCAGGCTGTCCGGGCCTGCTGAAGCTCCGATGGAGTGTGGCTAGACCAACATGCAGAGTAAAATTATTTTGCTTCAGCTATGGACTGTCTAGTTTTCTAGGCAAGGCAGCTTTATTTATAGAGCACGTTTCAAACACAGAGGCAATTCAATGTGCTTTACAATTGTCAGGACATGATATAAACCACCAGGTAATTTCTAGGCTATTTCTGATTTAGCTCATCAATCTGAGCAGAACCAATCTCTGATTCTGCCAGCCAAGGTTGTTCTGATGACTTTAAGGAACACTGTGATAATAAATCTTTGTTAGAAAAGATATCCCATAGCTACATTGCATAATAATAACAATAATAATAATAATAATAATAATAAGAGAGAAAGAAAGAAAACTTTCATATAGCGCCTCTCAATATAAAAATCCAGAGGTGTTTCTCAAGAAAATAATTTTTTTTAAAAGAACCAAACTATCATAAAAATGAGAAAAAATAAAAGAATTGTGATTACAATAATGTACGGAAAGGGAAAGAGAAAACAAATGAGAAAGAGCTATTCAGTGGATCCCGGGAAAAGCAGCTGGTAGAAAGAGCAGAATAAGGAGAGGGTGGTGAAGGTCACACCAAAACCAGCCTGAACAGGTGAGTTTTCAGCTGCTTTTTAAAGGAGACCACTGAGTCTACTGAATGCCAGGCTCAGGGGGAGAGATTTCCAGAGTCTGGGGGCCACAGCAGCAAAGGATCTGTCACCTTTGGTGCGCTACAAAACCAGTAGGCTTTGATCACTGGACCTCAGGGACCTGCTGGGGGATTCCATCATGGGGTTCCCTTTGCTCTGGGACACCAGGTTGGAGAAAAAGGCAACCCTTGCATCTCTGACTGCAGAGGTAAAGGATGACAGAAGACCCTTTAGATGCAGCAGATGGACGTGGAGATGGGTTTTCTTCCACACGCATTCAATTTTCTGCATTGGTGCTTCAGTCTGCAAATGTTGTCGTTAAACCAGGAAGTAGGGTTCACTGCAGGAACTGATCTGGTTCTGACAGGACAGATGTTGTCCAGAATGGAGAGGCAGTGCTCGTTAAACTGACAAGTTAAGGAATCTGGGTCATTATCAGAAGAACAGGGTGGATCAAAAGCAGCAGAAAAGTTGCTAGCTGTGCTCTCATTAAGAAAACGAGAACTAACCAAACGGCGAGCAGGAGGTGGGGGACGCAGAAACTGACAAGTTAAAGAAAATGCAATGGTGATCTGAAATATAAACATCCTCAGGACAAACACTGTCAGCATTTAGACCCAGGGTAAAAACAAGGTCCAGAGTGTGCCCCCCGGTGTGTCGGGGGCCAGAAACATGCTGGGTAAAGCTGAAGGAGTCCATGAGGCTGGAGAAGGTCATGACAAAGTGGTCTAAGGCCTCATCAGCATGGATGTTGGACCAGGTGGACCATAATAATAGTAATTATTATTATTTCTCACTGGAAGACATGCTAGTGGAATTGAGGAGGTCTTCAAAGTACTCTGCTTGCTGATCTACAACGTCCCGAGTTGAAGTCAGCAGCACACCATCCCCCCTATAAACAGTGTTGGTAGCGTGCTGCTTTCCCCTCCTGAGGTGCATGGTGGACCAGAATATGTCTGAAGTTCTGCCGGAGGTGGGAATTGAAACTACTTCTGACAGGAGAAGCTGACAGACGTTCCCAGTAGACCCTCACAATATGTTTGGGCCTGTCAAGTCTGACCGGCATCCTCCCCCACCATCGAAGCCAAGTCACCACCTGGTAATGGTAAATGTGGCCAAGACATGCGGCCACAGGTCAGATGAGACGACAACAAAGTTGATCATTGAGCTGTGGCCTAAGATGTTCTGTTGCCAAGAGCACATATGGACACCTTAATGCCTGAACATGGACAATTGTCCGTTATGGACAATCCATGATGAGCACAGAAGTCCCATAACCAGGGGTGGACTGGGACCAAAATTCGGCCCTGGCATTTTTACGAATCGTCGACCCTCAGTTGGCCCTCAGTCGGCCCTCCCCATTGGGAGAGCGGTGGGGGTTAGGGGTGTTGCCACCAGCGGACTCGTCTCTAGGCCGAATGTGAGATCTAATATGGACTGGGACTGTTAAATTACAAGCAGGGCCAGACCGCTGTGACTGGGAGCCCTGGCCTTCCAGATCAGCTCATTCTCCACAGGCGGAGATCAGCAGGACATTAGCTACATGCTAACGCAGTAAAACAACTCCTATGTCATCGCTCTACTGCATTTTTCTTGCTAAAAACGCCGGGAATAACTCTTTTAGCTTCAGGTTACCATTTGGCTAATGCTCTGCAGATCACCAACTGTGGAGTGGTGTCGGCCCAAGCTGGGCAAGCAGCCCACTTGGCTAAGCCCACCGCCCACCAGGAAACGGTGCCAGAATGCCAGATAGGACAGTCCACCCCTGCCCATAACCAACAACAAAACACTGCTCTGATTCAGGTCTCACTATCATTGCCCACGTGAGTGTTAACGTCCCCCAGCAGAACGAGGGGGTCCGCAGGAGTGTTCTCCAGCACCCCCTCCGAGGACCCCACAAAAGGGTAGGCAGTTTGGTGCATAAGCATAAATGACAATCAGGACCCGTCCCCCCACATGTAGGCAGAGGGAGGCTATCCTCTCATTCACCGGGGTAAACCCCAATGTACAGGCAACAAGATGGGGGGCAACAAGTATGCCCACCCATGCTCTGTGCCTCTCAGTGGGAGCAACTCCAGAGTGGTAGAGTGTCCAGTCCCTCTGAAGGAAACTGGTTCCAGAGCCAGAGCCACGCGTCGAGGTGAGTCCGACTATATCTAGCTAGAACCTCTCAACCTCTCACATCAACTCAGGCTCCGTCCCCACCAGAGAGGTGACATTCCACGTCCACAGCTTCCGTAGCCGAAGATCCCACCGCCAAGGTCCCCTCCTTCGGCTACCACCCCTCACACTTTGCACCCGGCCCCTTTGGCCCCTCCCACAAATGGTAAGCCTCCAGCCTCTTCGGATTGCGCCCGGCCGGGCTCCATGGGTGAAACCCAACCCACCAGATGCTCGCTAACATGCCCCGCTTCCAGGCCAGGCTCCAGAGGGGGTGGCCCACGTTCGGGCGAGGGAACACTCTTTTGATGCGTCTTCATAAGAACAACAGTTATTTTTCTATTTGTGCCTGCAGAATCACTGTAGGTGTTTAAAGAATTTACCAAGTTATATCTGAGGAGACTTAATCCCCTGTAAAAGTTAAAATTTTGATTACTTATTTTTATAGCATATTGGTGTGAATAAACACAGACAGCTGTTGTTTAAGCGAACTGTGTTCGTGTTCTCTTTTATGCATTGATTTATAGGCAGTTTCATTTTGTTTGGTGCGTTGAGGAGCTTGTTTCCGCTTTTCTTCTCCATCTTTTTCTGTTTAAATACACAACGTCTCAAGAGAGTTGTGTTTTAAGACAGAATCCTGCAGCATTTAAAAGAAGAGCAATGATCCTTAGCTGAAGAGTTGTTACAGCTGACATTAAGCTGTTAAGGAGGCTGCCATGTTGAAATATGATGGGCCAGACATAGCTGTCGTATAATCAGTCACCCAAACTCCTGCCCCGGGGCTAAAAGTCAAAGGATCGCCGAGACCTGATGTAACACTTGTGGGATTCTCCCCTTTGAAACTTCAAACTCCAGTTTGTGAGCAAAGTCCTGTCTATCTTCTGAATAGGAATCTCCGACCACTGACCAAACTCCATTTGTAACCACTGCCTATTTGTACCTTCTCCTCAATGACTACATTTCATTTCCCCATGTCTGATCTGAAAGGCAGGCAGCAGCTGGAGGGGACGAGACGACCACGAGGGCCTGGAGGAACTGACAGGAGAAGGAATATTCACAGCCTGAGGATGTATTTTGTTTCTTTCCCAGAAGAACAGCACCGCAGTGGAAATGTGTGCCTGTGAGGCCGATCCAGCAGCGTGCTGATGTTGATAAGAGTAAAATAGAAGGACACAATGTGCTGCCTGCAGCAGATTTAAGGCCAGCAGAGGAAGGCTGCTGCTGCAGATGGAGGAGATAGGTGAGTAGAGTGCCATGGCAAAGACCTTGTCAACAGATAGCTATCTGTAAATACCACGGCTTATGCAAGCCCCTGTGGCTCGGTGCTGGAATATTATTTCATCTGTGCCAGTGAAAGATTCTTAGTCACTTTCATTTACAATAAGAATTCATTAAAAATGTCTTTCTTAAAATAGACAAAACGTTAAAGGATCATTTTGTCGACGCAGTGAAGAATACTCTTGCCGTTATTATTACATGGCTTAAATACTCTTTAAAAAGCAACACTCCACTACTAAATAAAATAAGTTACATAAATTGTTGATGGATTTCAGTTCAATGGCAAATGCAGGGTTTCAGTTCTTTAGATCAGAATCATTTCTTTATTGTCACTCTGGGTGATTTCTTACATGATTTAAGATTTAATCCAAAATAAACTATTTATTTGTGAAACAGAGGAAAGAATCTCCTTTTTTTTTTATTTATGATCATGGTTTTGTTCCTGTGTGATAATAATAATAAACTGCTCATGCCTCTCATAAAATCCCAGTAGATTAGGGAATTAGCACGTAGGAATTTAAAAAGAGCTCATTACATCTTTTTGTGTAAAGATTCATTATTACAGGGCCTTGCTATTTAGATCCTGACTCATGCAGCAGACTAAACCTTGATTTTTGCAGTTTCCTGAATTTTTCTCCTACATTTTCAGGGCTGAGGTAGAATTCTGTTCACTTTAACTGCTTGAGCTGTGATGTCTGGTCTAAATTCATAACCAGTCAAACTGAAAAAGCAGAAACTCGAGGAGCCGCTGTGCACCAAATAAGTAAACAATTGCATCAATAAACACGAAGAGCCATGCTTGACGTAAATCAATCACAGCGTCTGATAAAACTCGGTAATTATTAACTCTGTTTTGCTGAGAATTCATTTTGACTGCTGTCCCAATCACCTCTGTCAGCAGCTCTGTTCTGAGCGCTCTTATCTCTAGTGGTTCTTCAGTCTCCAGCCAATCAATGCATGTTTAACCTCCACAGCCTGAATAACGAGGCGTTCAGGAACATCCTGTCAGAGCGCAAACGTCACACAGAAAACAGCAAAAACACTTTTTGTGGAAATCTAGTCAAAAATTGTACAATCAGCAGATCATTCTACCCTCCGTCGTCATCTAGCTGAAGGGAGACTATAGATATGTCAAAAATAGGAACCCTTATAAAACAGCCTCAGTTTGGAGAAATACAGATTAGTTCACAGGGACTGAATGAGCTTTATCAGTTTTACATCACACGGTTGATCTGACAGAAATATTACAAAATGTTGAAGACAGATGGGTTCTGCAGCATCGCTGGCTTCATCCAGCTACAGAAGTGGTTCTCAAACTGTTATGGTTCTGACCCACTAAATATTAATACCACGGGCCAGTGAGCTCGCTGTCACAGGGGTAAGGGGGTATAGCGGAGGATCTGTTTTTTTCCGGGTAAATCATCTGAATCAGTGGTCCACGTAAAGAAAGAAAGAAAGAAAGAAAGAAAGAAAGAAAATGATATTTTATATAGCGTCGTCTTTCAAGATAAAAATCACGAGGCGTTTCAAAATATTAAAAACATTTGGACAAAATTATTTTTAAAAATTAGGTTAAAATGACAAAAAAATTGTGGTTAAAAATGTAATGAAAGGGAGAGAGACAATGAAAAGGAAAGAGGGAAATCAGATGATCCCGGGAAAGGCGGAATAAGTAGAAAGATGCAAATAAGGAGAGGGTGGTGACGAAGGTCATGCCAAAGCCAGCTTGAACAGGTCCACTGATCTCAGGCTCAGGGGGAGAGAGTTCCAGAGTCTGGGGGCCACAGCAGCAGATGATCTGTCACCTTTGGTCTTTAGTCTGGTGCTGCACAACCAGTAGGCTTTGATCACCAGACCTCAGGGACCTGCTGGGGGTGTAGGGACTAAGAAGATTGCCAATTTAAGATGGTGCTTGTCCATGTAAGGCCCTATAGACCAGAACCAGGATCTTGAAATGAACCCTGAAGCTGACTGGCAGCCAGTGAAGCTGGAGGAGAAGCGGGGTGATGTGGGTGTGTTTGGAGGACTTGGTCAGAAGCCGAGCACAGGCATTCTGAACCACCTGTAGACGGTTCAGGGAGGTTCTGCTCAGACACGTGAAAAGAGAGTTGCAGTAGTCTAAGCGTGAGGAGATGAAGGTGTGGAGAACTGTCTCAAGTTCAGAGCGGGACAGAATGGGACTCAGCTTAGCAATGTTCCTGAGATGGAAGAAGGAAGAGCGAACAAGAGAACTGACATGAGAATCCAGGGTGAGAGCTGGGTCAAAGGTCACACCGAGATTCCTAACAGAGGGTTTGGTGTCAGAAGTAAGCTGACCAAGAGTCTCTGACTTTGGGAACCAGCTTGTCTGGAGCACAGATGAGGATCTCAGTCTTATCTTCATTCAACTGTAGAAAGCTCCCAGCCATCCAGGTTTTGATAGTCTAAGCAGGTGTGTAACATCTTAGATATTGCATGTACAGTTGGATGTCATCTGCATAAAGATGGTAGTAGATTCCTTTAGTAGAGCTCAGGATGTGCTGAAGTGGAAGCAGATAGAGAATGAAAGCAGAGGCCCCAGCACATAACCTTGTGGGACTCCATGGGTGAGGGAGGTGGTGGAGGACCGAAATTTGGAGACGGACACAGAGAAGGAATGCTCAGACAGATAAGAGGAAAACCACTCCAGAGCAGTTTCTGATAGGCCTACCCAGTCTGTCAATCATTCTTGTGAACCATTCACACAAGGCCATTGTCTTACTTGCTCGTTGCTGGGTAGTTTTCACTTCATGCACATGAGCAAAGCGAAGGTTAGGCTCCCCACAGACGCCTCTGTCGCCAGTTTTCTCCTCAACAGGTAAGCTAAAGTTTAGCATGCTATTTGGAGAAATTCATTTGAGATAACTGTTAGAAGAAGTGCTGCAAGCCGGCAGCTATTTGTTTCAGTGCACCCAAAGGTCAAGTTTTCACCAAAATGACCAGAAATTAACTTTTTAATTTGCAGACACAAACAACCCATCTGTCTGGCCTCCAAACAAGAAAACACCGCACGAGACCTCATTACTGAACAAGGAAGCCATATTATCTTTGCTCAAGGTCTCACGCAGACGACGAAACTTTTGCACTCTCTCTGAATAAAGTCCATCTTCTCTGATTCGTAAATGACTTTTTATAACGTGATCATTGCATAAGTGTCCAATAATCACCTCTTGTTAAATCCTAAAGTGTTTGAATAATGTGTGCATTAATCAACGGTGTGTTAAATTGAATATTTTTCTTCCAGTGAACCATTTCAGATCTTAAACTACACCAGATGGAAATTTGTTGATTTAACAAGTTAATCTATCAGTATACTCATACACATTATAATAAAAAGTATTATTAATGTTTTACATTTTTGCTTCACATAACTGATATAACATTTGCACTTCACACTAAGAGTTAACTTCTCTGAGTATCTGAGTGAAGGCGTGATTTCTGAGGTATTTTGGTAATGCCTTTTAAACGTCAGATTCTGAATTTACAGAATTTATGGTTAATGGTAAATGGTAAATGGCCTGTATTTGATATAGCGCCTTCTAGAGTCCTGGAACCCCCCCAAGGCACTTTACAACACAATCAGTCATTCACCCATTCACACACTGGTGATGATGAACTACGATGTAGCCACAGCTGCCCTGAGGCGCACTAACAGAGGCGAGGCTGCCGAGCACAGGCGCCACCCGTCCCTCCGACCACCACCAGCAGGCAAGGTGGGTTAAGTGTCTTGCCCAAGGACACAACGACAGCGACAGTCTGAGCGGGGCTCGAACCTGCAACCTACCGATTACGGGGCGAGCACTTAACTCCTGTGCCACCGTCGCCCCAATTTATAAACAAAGTTGATAAAAACAGGAATTACTTCCTGATCTAGTAAGTTCTCCTGCTGCGTCCTGGTTTGGCCGACCGGCGAGCAAGTATTTGGAACCATCCTATCTTTTGACCTCAGTGTCAAAGCCTCTATGCACCGCTTGCGAGTCATTTCAGACACAACGGCTCTTTTGAGAGCCACCGAACAGCCTCAGACGCAAAATAAGCACTCCAGCTTCCTGCCATCACCTGGAGGCATCTCAGACTAGACGGGTCGTATCGGAGCTATCTACGAGTTCTGTTGCGTGACGTCCACTCTACCAGCTGCGTCCATCTTGACCTCTTGACGCCCTGGATCGCCCGGGGACCGCCACACAAGGGTGCGTAGACTCGGCACAAATTGCGTCGGATGGTTTTATAAACAAGTCCCTAGCTTATCAAACCATACAGCCAAACTGATTTTACCACCCAGACTCCAGAATCTCTCTCAGATACTTAAGAAAGGTTTTGCTAAAACACCCAGCTCACATTCCATCATTCCATTCATCATCTGTGATCTGTACAACCATCATTTCATTCATACTTTGTCATGTACAATCATTTAGCTTAGGAAAATAGAATAAAAATTATTTTTATAAACTACATTCTTGACTCTGTCTGAATTAATATGAAGTGTGTGTGTTCCCTGAATAAGTCAAAGAACCTAAAGGGATATTCATTTAAATATTCAAAGACCAATCAGATTGATATTTCATATTTATAAGGGACATCACAGCTTATTGATCATTTAATAAATAAGTAGCCGATCCTTAACGCTACACTGTAAACAGAGCGTGCACGAGGATAACTGGGGGCTCTCTCCCAGGGCTGTTCTTTCCTGAAATTCAGAAACATTCTCCGCCATATTTTTTACAACAGAAACCGCTAAAACAAGTTATATTTTCTAAGAAAAACAAATTTATAACAGTTATTTCTAAATATATCAATATTTTTCTAAACAAACCAGTATTGCTTTTATCTCTGCAATAAGCAATCATCTTTACATATAGCTTGATTCCCGGTGTTGTTTTTATTTCTTTAGGGCTCTTACTTTGGGTTTCACGACATTTCCACCAGTAGATACAGAAACAGAACAAAGAACATAATGACCCCGCCTGTTCATGACTTCTACGCCCGCCTTCCTTTGGCCTGGGCAGTATAACAGCCCAGACAAGGCTGAGGAGCAGCTTCTTTCCTGAGGTGATGAGGCTTTTTGTTCACCACAGTATGGTTGTTGATCGGGGTTTTATTTGTTTTATATTCCCTGATGTCTCTGACGCGCTGAATGATAATGAATAAATAACTAACTATAGAATTGTATGTAAATAACTGTGTTCATAAAATACTGATAATCTTTTAGAGAACAGCTTTTCAACTTCAGAACTAATCTCTGTTTATCCAAACTGAGATGTTCAAACAAGAAACATTTCTACAGGACGCCACATGAGAAGATGTGTGGTGGTGTTTACAGCCAGCAGTTTTAGTCAGACACTGCCCTCTCCTGGTCAAATGGGTGTCTGCAGCCCTGCTGCAGGAAACGGTGTCCTGGTCAACAGCTGTACTGTGTTGCATTCAAAGGGTAATAAAGTGTTTGTACTGATGTGGAAGCAAGCACACACACACACACACACACACAAACACACACACACACACACAGACACACACACACACACACACTTACTTGTATTTATATGTTTGTGTGGAACTCCATAGGCTTCCATTCATTTTAGTGACTAAACTAAACTAAACTGAACTGAACTAAATGTTCATTCACACCATAAATCTATAACCAAGTTTTAGGGTGCAAGTATGGACAGCAAAATGTCCCCACTATGCGGAAATGTGTAGGTTAAAATAAAAAATCTGCCCACTTTAACAAAGACAAGTACACATGTATACACACACACACACACACACACACACACAGATTTCTTGTATTTCTCTTCTTTCAGATCAATTTACAGATTTCAAAAGACGAAACATGAACAATGATTATTTATCAGAAAGCTGAGCTCGTTTCCAATGACCGGATTACTGCCAGGCCTTTAGTTACATCTTTGATGCTTTTATTAACAATCATGCTGGACTTATCATTCAGCTCACTGAAACAAAAACAACCTATTAAACTAAACAATTTGACAAACAAAAGCAACAGGAAGGAAATTCAATTTGAAGATGATTAAGAATGAAACTATGATTGATTTTTAAAGGTTGAATATGGAACAATTAAATAAAATGCTTTTTTTTATATCTCCAAGTGGCATTTAGAGGTGTGCAGAATAAAGGTACAGTATTTCCTTTAAAGAGGGGGGAATTTGCTCCCAGCACACTCTATAAAGCTGGTAATACAACCCTTTTGCTGTTTTTTTAGCCATTTAGAGGAGGATATTCAGCCTCATTACCATAAAGAAGCCTTAATTAAACTTTAATGTGTCATTTTTGTCATTTGGGGATTATTATTATTATTAGGGAGGAGAAGAATGAGGTGCATGGGAGGAAGGAAGTGGATTTATTCAGTTCTTGTGAGGACACAGAAAGTTCCCGGCTATCCACTTTGAACAGAATCATGTGGTAGCAGCTGTGTAACACCTTGGATTCCTTGTAACAGCCAATGCTGTAGTCTTTGGACTTATCTTCTTCTTGTTACATTCTCTTTTGCTGAGCGAAGTCTCTTTAAACTGAGGGTCATCAGTGGCACAAGAACGCTTGAGTGACAACCCCTTTGGATTACCATGACCTTGATGACTGAGAAACTTCAGCAGCACTCTGGTTTCCAACATTTGGACAGAAAAGGAAGATGGGGAGTTGCTGCCCTCCTATGTCTGAAAGCGAGTACTACACTTTTTTGTTTTTGCCATTTTGAAGAGAATATTTTAGCCTCCTTATTTTAATGACGCCTTAAATAAAGGAGTAGAAGGAGAAAAAAGCTGAATTTGTTAAGTTAAAAGAGTTACTCAGTAGAAACACTTCCTCTAGTTCTTCCAAACAATATGTTTTATTGCCTTGAAAGACCAGCCAATGTACGCCCTCCTCAGTAAATAAAAACAGAACAACACTCTGGGGTCCTACAGCCTTCCAACCATAGACATGGGCCCAATCCCAATACCCGCACTGCGCCCTATGGTCTTCTGTGAAGTGCACTTGGAGGAAGTGCGCAGTAAGGCTTCAAGTGCGTAGTACAAAAGTATGCAAATAATTGCCGAATTGGGACAGAGAGCATTGTGTCATCGACCGCAACGCATGCCGGGATTCTGTTCGCTGCGATGCTTTTTTTAAAAAACCTTTATTAACAACGTTCAAACAAACAACCAAACAATTATTTGAAAAATTTTACATTCATTGCTGCTTTGTCTAAAAGTTTCATCGCGTCAACTAATCGTCCTAAAATTAACTAATTTCATTAGAAAATACATATTTTCAGAAAAGTAACTTGAGCCTTTTCTCCTGCAGCAATGACTTGTGGGTAATACCCTTGCCTGAGGTCCGCATCGCTGCGGACTTGGGTGAAGTGCAGATTAAGGAAGCAATGGGGCGTGGTCAACTTCCGCACTTGAGAATCGGGACACCCTACGCACTCGTACCCCTGGCTGGGAAGGCGCAATTGAAGGGCGCAAGGGTGCAAGTGTGAGTATTGAGATTGGGCCAATGTAACAGTGTCAGTGTCACCGCCGTTTTGGATTGGTTTCTCACTCTCCAAACCTAACTGTAGTCAACGCAGAGACAGAAACTTTGCCCATTCTTTTGTGCAGCCTATGATTGCAACAACTGGCACACTACTGAAAACAGATCACATGGGATTACTATTAACATTTCAAACCTACGTGTTGGGATTTTATATTTTTATTTAATTATATTTAGATTGTAATTATGTGCCTTATTATGTGTCTGACTGTGAAAAAAGCATAAAAAATGTGTTGGGTAAACACCTTCCTCAGTAGAAATATATGCATTGGGGGCAAATGGGGACCCATCCAAGATGGCTGCTCCACCAGCTCCAATAGGCAGCGCTAGTTCACATTGCATAAGATGTCTTTGACTCCAACACATTGGCCCAATCCCAATACTCGTACTGCGCTCTACAGTCTGCTGTGAACTGCACTTGGAGGAAGTACGCAGTAAGGTTCAAAAGTACACATGTATGCTGAATTGGAACATTGTGTCATCGACCACAAATGCCGGTTGCTGTTTGTGCTACTTTTTTAAAAACCTTTATTAACAACTTTGAAATAAACAAATATTTGACTATATTTGCATTCATTGCTGTTCACAATTAAATCTTTGATACAGTCAGAGCATGAATACATATCATTAGTCATCCAAACATTACAGTTTTTTAACAAGCTCTCACCAACACATCAGATACTTCTAAACTCGTAACACAGATTAATTCCTACAAAACACAACTGGCCAAATGGAAAATTTTCGTCTCAAAAACACATTTTGATAAACATAAACTAACTCTTCATTTCAAAATAGAACATATCTTTCTCTGCACACACTACCTTTACCCAAACACTGGACATCTGACTCAAAGTGAAATTATTCGGTCAAAAAGTAGAACTTGTTTTCACTTCACAAGATACATTCAGTCAATCAAAGTACACCAGGTTTCAAAATACTGGCGATTGTTGACATTACAAAAACCGCATAGAGTTTTATGTTTCGGTTTTAGAGGTAAAACGTGCAATCCACCATTTTTATGTCACACGGGCAAAGTCGGTGTTTATTGTGTTTTTCCTTCCAGTGTGGTGTATTTTTAGTGTGCGTTCTTTTTACTTAGTTTTAGAGCATGGGATGCTTTTATTTAGGAGAACCCAGGAAACTGGGAGGATATGTGATTTTATTTTGACAAGCTTGGACAGATGACATCCGGACCGGGGCAATTATCTGCACCGGTGGCAGATTAGGAGTGTCTTCGGCGGAGACGGCGGCAGAAAGCGGAGAGCCGCCGGGTGAAAGGACACCGATTGTCTGTGACGAGGCTTCATGGAGATGTGGGCAGGGTATTCCTCCGCCCTGACGTGTGAGTAGCGGCCTGTGACAAGGTGTGACCCGTGGTGTGCGATCGAGCAGTGACTGCCGTTAAAATTCACTGACAGGTGGACCCGCGACGGAGGAGGACGACGGCGTGGCGCGGTGGCGCGGCTGAGCCAGTGACTGATCTGCAGGAGGAAGCAGGCGATTGAGAGAAATGGGGGTGTGGCAGACAAGCATCCTGAAGGAGGAGGAACTGGCCCCGCAGCGTCCAGATAAGGCTGCAGACTCTCACCGGGCCCAGTTCCGGCAACCGTTCTAGTGACTGGCCTAAGGTTTTTTTAGTGATGTTTTAATTAGTACTTTGAATAAACCCTGGTGCTGTGGTTAACGGCTGATTCCTTTGATCTCTGGCGGTTGCTCTCAACTTTACCTGGTGTAACCCTTGGTTGGGATTTGGTATCCTGTAGATATATAGTATAGCCCACCTACCCGGTAGGAAGGTGCCACATTTACACTACATTTCTTGGTTGTGAACTGTATGATGTGCACATTTGAAAGCATTCCAGTAAAAAGCTAATCCTGTTTTTCCATTACTGTTTATTTCAGGAGGTACAGCAGAAATGATGTTTACAGTATGACAGAACAGAAAAGGGTCTACAGTATTGCTTGTAGTGAACTAAATATCAATGAAACAAACAAGAGCATTCTGAACAAAAAAACAGCACAAAGCCCAGATAAAAGGAGGCAACTACAAAACGCACTAGTAAATGACTGTAGCTAATCTCTGCGATCTTCAGGGTTAGGCCACGTGTTTTCATCAACATTGCGTCTCATATCATCCAAAGCAATGCACCTGGGATAAAACCGCTTGCTATGTCGTATCCAGTGGCGTGTCCAGATCTTTTAAAATGGGGTGGCCCAGATGAGGCACAGCTTTGTGCATGGGTGGCACCAATGGTTATGCTTTTTTTTTTGTTTTACCTCCAAGCCTTTTGTGGACAATGAAAAGCCTATTTAAAAGTAAATTAGTGTGGTGGCACCTGGGGTGGCCAATCGGATTCCAAGGGTGGCATGTGCTACCCCAGGCCACTCCCTGGACACGCCCCTGGTCGTATCCACCCTTGGCAGTCATCAACCATGATGTCCCTGCGGCCAGCATCCATAGCTTCCAGGAGGGACATGTGGTCATGTGGCTGATGGTCATAAACCTTCCACCTCCATGCAGAAAATAACTCCTCTATGGGGTTGAGAAAAGTAAATACACTATATCTGGACATATTGCATTATTTGCAACAACCATTTCCACAATGGCAAGCTCTTCCCTCAGAGGGTGGAAGACGTTGCATTCTTTAGAGGCAAAAATGCATTACTGTATGGTCTTATTTATACTTCAAGTGACTCATACTCTTCCTCATCCAGACATCGCAGTGTTTGTTTTTTCTGTTTCCGTTTCCAAATACTTGACACCTCAAAGTCCTCCTTTTATTTTAGTGTCAATGTAACAGAAAAAGAACACCTTCCACTGAGTCTAAGCCTGAATGTAATCCGCTGTGGTAGGCCCAGTTTACCCAACATACATCAGCTGTGTGTAAATTACTCCGTTGTTTGTTTATTATCAACTGAGGTACAGTGATCCCTCGCTACTTCGCGGTTCGTTTATCGCAGATTCACGACTTCGCGGATTTTTTCTTTGGAGCCTTATTCAAGGGAAATTCGCCGATTGGCGTTATTTTTCACCGATTCGCGGTATTTTTCTATGCGAAATATCAAGAAATTCCTGGTTTTTTTTCATCAATTTCATCATAAAATGCACTTTTTGTAATAAAACTATAAAAAACCAAGTAAAATTTTTTTTCTTGAGTTTTACCCACAAAAAGAGAATGTGATCATACGATAATTCAATATAGTACTGTACTGTAAATATGGTGTCCCTACTTCGCGGATTTTCACCTATAGCAGCCAGGTCTGGAACGCATCTACTGCGATAAACGAGGGATCACTGTATATTGTTCTTGAACTCATCATTGCAGTAGCAGAGGTTTTTTTTATACTGCATCTAAGGTCAGGACTATTATTTTTGCTATTGTGGGATGTTGTGTGTTTTCATTCGCAAATACCACAAAAACAATCCATAGTTTTGTTGGGAGGAATAGCTTCTCTGTTGAGACAATGTAAACATTATGGAAATCTGTTGACTGACTGCATATTGAGTGAAAACGACGTGAAATGTGTGAATTGTATGGCCACAAAACGCCGATGTTCTACTTGTATTTAGAGTTTTGAAAATGTGACAACTGGTTGGACAAATGCTTGTTAGCGACTGAAAAGACCGTAACCTCTTTCGTTAGAAAATCCATATTTTTCAGAAAAGGCACTTGAGCCATTGCTCCGCCTTCTTCTCACAACTCTCCTGCAGTAATGTATTGTGCTGCTGCCTCTTGGCCAGATCATCACTGTAAATTAAAATGAGTTGTCAATCGACTCATCTGGTTAAATAAAGGTTAAATACATGAATAAGTAAGACGTCCAGACCAAATGGTTTACTACTGTGAGGTTGTCTGTGTGTTTTAGTAGTGATCACCAAGCTTTACTGCAAGGTTTTTGTGTGAATCCTATGCTGAGATAATGCAGAGCTCCACATGAATCTGGAACAACAAAACCCAGAGTCCTCTGAGGATAAATAAAACCAATGCTGCCATCGTGTGGGCGCACAGCATCAGTTCACACCCAGTCTGGTGACCAGTACATGATTATAGTACTCTGCTACACTTGCTAAAAAACATTAAAGTTATCAATATTGGCTCAGCCGAAGTTGCCACGTATCCATCTGACCGAATTCGTTGCAAAAGTGCACTCTGGAACCAGCTTTCCAGAACAATCCTGCCAATCCCTTAACCACACAAGGCCTCCTCCTGCTTTACACCTTCACACACTCTGTGGGTTCCAGCAGAACAGTTAGACTAGTCTCAGCGTACTTTACCTTTACATGGATTGTTGAAATGCAGCATCCCATTCTGACCGTACATCCCTGTGAAGTCCTGACAGCGAGTCGGCCCATGAGCCTGGTGGGCTCTCTCAGGCCTAGCCAGGCTGAGGCACGCAGGGAGGCGAGGCAGTGCTGCTGAAGGTGGATGGTTCTGTTTCCTGTGGCCACTGGGCTGACTGTAAGGGCACACAGCACACAGGGATAATCCCCTAATGCCTGTCACAATGAGATTTGATTGGAGACTTGAACACCCAGATTAATAGTGAAAGCAGTTCCAACTCTCCTAACACGCTGCTAATTGGGTTCTCTGCTGCTGAAAAACAGCAGACGCAAATATTTCCTGTAGGTTTAGCGAATGATGTTTAAGATCAGGAACTGTTTGTCTGATCTGATCACCAATCAACTCTGGTCTAATGAACTGTCTGTGATCCATTAAAGTGTGGTTCAAATATGCAGGAAACAAAGATAACCACTTACCTGTAGTTTAATCAACATTTACAGTACAGGCCAAAAGTCTGGACACACCTTCTCATTCAATATGTTTTCTTTATTTTCATGATTCTCACTGAAGGCATCAAAACTATGAATGAACACATGTGGAGTTGTGTACTTAACCAAAAAAGGTGAAATAACCGAAAACATGTTTTATTTTCTATTTTCTTCAAAATAAAAAATAAGCCACCCTTTGCTATGATTACTGCTTTGCACACTCTTGGCGTTCTCTCGATGAGCTTCAGGAGGTAGTCCTGTTGGAAAGCCATTTGAGGTGACTACCTCTTGAAGCTCATCGAGAGAATGCCAAGGTGCTAACCCCAACCCCGGTTTGAAGAGTTTAGTTCTAACTGGGTTGACAAGCTAACAGCTAGTGTAAGTGAAGACGCCAGGATAAAGCTGTCATCTTTAACTCATTCACTGCCAATGACGACTAAAGTCGTCATTTGCATTTTTTTTTACTGTTTGAGCATCGGAACGAGCCCCCGCGCTGAGAGAACAAACATCTCAGCCCTGAAGCCGATCTTCACCCGCATACGTCACAGATCACATGATCAGGAAGCAACACATCCATGTGTTTGGAGATCGTTTTGGGCCGTTCCTGTAAAAAAAGTGAGGCGCGAACCGGAAAAGCATCTGCCGATCACAATTCAACAACGGATTATGAAAGAACGGATAACGCTCGAAACACGCGGCTTCTTCCTGATGTAAGAGGTGAGTCTCCTCTTTGTTTTGGTTGTTTTGGCATCAACATCATGCTAGCGCGCACCGTTCTGTGACTCTTAAAAAAAACAGTAAAAACGGTGAGAAACGCTGGCAGCGAAGGCCGTTAGTGATCAGGAAACGGCTGGCAGTGAATGAGTTAAACATCCCTAATCTAAAAAAAGCAAATGTTCAAACAGTTGACTGCATTGAGTTTCACATAACTGGATTATTCTTGCAGAGATGTCATGGTATTCACGCAGGGAGAGGATAGAATTGCTGCTAACGCTGATATTTGTTTTTGCAAAATAAACTTGAAAAGCTGTATAAATGTCTGTACAATAACAATTAACAAAATTGTTATGAAATCGTTAAATACGGATCTCATGGAACGCATTTTCAAGGATTTCTCTTCTGTCTAGGGTCCACAATGACTAGCCGTTTGCTCGTCAATCCAGTCAGGCTGTGTGAAAAGGTTAAAGACCAAGTTCACTGAGAAACTGATTAATACTTTTGAAATATGATCATCATTCTGTGTTTCACATGCAGGCTGAATGTTAAAACGCTCTTCTCCCCCCACCGGTAGACAGAAGATGGGGTAACGCTTAGAAAAGAAGAAGAAGAAAATATCATTTCTATAGTGCCTCTTAAGATAAAAATCACGAGGCGCTTCACAAAAATAAAAAATGTAAAAATATAAAAAATAATTTAGAAATGGTTAAAAACATATTTAAAATGAGCAAAAAATAGACAATTGTGATTTAAAAAATGTTAAGAAAGAGAGAGAGTGAACAGGAAAGAGGGAAATCAGTGGATCCTGAGGAAGGTGGAATAGGTGGGGAGAGCAGAATAAAGAGAGAGTGGTGAAGAAGGTCATACAAAAGCCAGCTTGAACAGGTGAGTCTTCAGCTGCTTTTTAAAGGAGACCACTGAGTCCACTGATCTCAGGCTCAGGGGGAGAGAGTGCCAGAGTCTGGGGGCCACAGCAGCAAATGATCTGTCACCTTTGGTCTTTAGCCTGGTGCTGCACAACCAGTAGGCTTTGATCACTGGACCTCAGGGACCTGCTGGGGGTGTAGGGACTAAGAAGATCACCAATGTAAGATGGTGCTTGTCCATGTAAGGCCCTATAGACCAGAACCAGGATCTTGAAATGAACCCTGAAGTTGACTGGCAGCCAGTGAAGCTGGAGGAGAAGCGGGGTGATGTGGGTGTGTTTGGAGGACTTGGTCAGAAGCCGAGCACAGGCATTCTGAACCACCTGTAGACGGTTCAGGGAGGTTCTGCTCAGACACGTGAAAAGAGAGTTACAGTAGTCTAAGCGTGAGGAGATGAAGGTGTGGAGAACCTAAGCGGGACAGCCATTCAACGGCATGTCACATTGTCAATTTAGCATTGTTGGACTCAACCATTTTGGCTGTGTGTGTATGGGGGGGGGGGGGGGGGGGCATCTCTTTGTTGTTTGAGGGCGGGGGAGGTGATTGCTTTTTCTGCACGACATTGGAGGTGTGGCGTGAGAGTGTGTGAGCACTCAAATGCGTGTCTCACACTCAGTGTGTGACGGTTGGCAGCTTTCTGTCCAGGAGGCAGCAGGGCACACCTCAGCTCATCAAAGCTAACCGTTAGCATTAGCGACATGGCAGAACTCCTTCAGGTGTGTGTTATTTGAAGAGATGTCGCGAAGCGTGTGTTAGAGTTGCATTGCTGTCAGCTAATCAGAGACAAGATCCAAAAATCAGGAAATAAGACTAAAACCTGCTGTGTTCTGCTTTTCTCTCCTCTGGCTCACTTCTAGCTCCTGAAGCAGTAACGCCAGAGTTCCCTCCCTCCAGAAATCCAGACATTATACCAGACTTGTTGAAAAGACTTGTGGAAAAAAACAAGTGAACTTGGTCTTTAATGGTTTGGCATATTCTCACACAGTACACACTCAAAATATTTGAACCATCTTCAAAATGAAATTTCAATCCAAACTGAAAAGTGTTTTTGTCTAAAACTATTAACAACAACCATCGTAGCCATTGTAGAGAACTGTCTGAATAGCCTCGGTTTAGAGAAATAGAAACATGTGAGTCTTGGTGATTATCTGAAAAGTTTAGTAGCTAATTAAATTAAAGTCATTACCGTTTTCCTATTTGTAAATAGTGTCATGTTCTGTGTCCCTTTGTTCCCCAGCCCCTCCAGTTCCCACTCCAGGTTCTCCTTTTGTTGTTTCTAGCGCCCTCATGTGTCTTGTCTGCGTCTCCTCAAGTGTCTTGTCTGCATCTCCTCATGTGTCTCCTGGTGTTCCCATTTTGCGCTCTAGGTTTCCCCCCTCAGACTTCCCTCTCCCGGGTCCTGTGCTCTCTTGGCCCCCTCTAAGCCACGCCCCTGTAGTTTCTTTCTGTAGTGTTTTCCTTTAGTCAGTTTCCCCTTAGAATATTAGTTATGGTTCATGCCTTCTGGTCTTTTGTTTTTTCTCTTAGGTCATTTTCCTTTGTTACAGCCTTTCATTATTTAGTGTGTTTTTCCCACCAGTGTTTTCTTCCTCCTCCCTGAGTTAGTAATTGTGTTCACCTGGTCCCTCTCCCCACACACCTGCAATTCATCTCCCTCTCATCTTCCCAGTCTACTTAAGCCCTGTCTTGTCACTCTGTGTTTGTTGGTTCATTGTCGTTGTCAGTGTTGTTTTTGTCCATCTCAAGTGTTCTCCTGAGCTTGCTCATAAAAGAGCTTCTGTTTTGCCTTTTGCCAGCATTTGCTTTGGATTTATGCCCAGCCTCCTAAATAAAAGGATTTTTACTTCATATCCACTTCAGCCTCGTGTCATCCTGGGTTACTGCATTTTGGGTCCAAACCATCCTCTCAACCTGACAAACTGAGATTAGTTCTGACCAGACAGAGGAGCTAAAGGCTAGTTGGAATGAGGCCAATTATGAGTGTTTCTGCTGTCTTTACACAAATCTAATCTCAGATTATAACGGTCCATGCAGCTCCCCTCTAGCGCTCAGATTACAGCTCCTGTCACACTCCTGGGAGGAATTCATCACACTTCTGCCAAACTCACCTTGAAAGGTGAAATTCTGTAACAATGACTCTGTAAATGATTAACAAACCTCTAAATGTTTTAGTTAAGAAACTCTGTATTATTTGTTGATCTCTGTGTTCGTCCATTTTCACCCATTAACCCATTCGCTGCCAGCGTTTGTCACCATATTTACTGTTTTTTTAAGTGTCACAGAACGTTGCGTGCTAGGATGATGTCGACGTCAAAACAACCAAAACAAAGAGGAGACTCACCTCTTACATCAGGAAGAATCCGCGCATTTCGAGCGTTATCCGTTCTTTCATAATCCGTTGTTGAATTGTGATCGGCAGAAGCTTTTCCGGTTCGCGCCTCACTTTTTTTACAACAGCGGCCCAAAACGATCTCCTAACACATGGATTTTCTGCTTCCTGATCACGTGACATGTGACGTATGTGAATGAAGATCGGCTTTAGAGCTGAGATGTTTGTTCTCACGGTGCGGGGGCTTGTTCCGACGCCCACACAGTAAAAACATGCAAATGACGACTTTAGTCGTCACTGGTAGTGAATGAGTTAATGATCTCCGTTTATTCAAACTGAGGCCATTCTCATAGCTATCTAAAACAGATAAGAAATTAACGGATCATAACTTTGCCACGGAAACACACTTCAGGAGATCTGCCGTCACTTTCAGAGAAGAAAAAGTCGGAAAAACATTTTAAACGTGTCACAAAATGTGTTGTTTTAAATAATATGATTTATTTTAGAAATGTCTCAACTCTCTGCTGCAGGAACATCAAAGTAGGTTATAGTGATTTTAAATATGTGTTCAGTTTTTTTGTCTTATTTTATTTTAAATGCACCTTATGTTTACATTATCTCAGATATTGGATGTTCTTCACATTTTAATGACATTGCAATTTGTTCACCTTGTCATGTGTTTTGTTTTTAGATTTAGAGAGATTTATACATTTGTTTCCCTATAGCATATAATCTATTAGATAAAAAGTTATTTTGTTTTTAGTATAATAAATAATAACAATGGCCAAAAAGTACAAGAGTTAGACTTTAAAACTGATGAGCTGTCTTCTGGGGCAGCTTTTTTGGACTCTAGCAATAGTTGGTACCAAAATAATAAACTAAACATGGTTGAAGCCACAAATCCTAATATTAACATTCTACCATCATTACTTATTTATGATGCAACATATTTCCAAAGAGAAATGAGAGAAATTCAAGATAAAAATACTGCTGTGTTTCCATGGCAACTCCACCTGCACTACAAGATCAACCAGATGATTTTATTTATATTCAGAAAACTGCTCATAACACTGCTTGCATGCTGCTGCATCCTTAATTCAGCATGCATTGAAAACATCACCAACTTTATGTTGTTCTTGGTCTCTTTCATAGTAAATCTCAGCCGCCTGGTGTTTGATGGGTAGAAGGGGTGTCCAAAAAGTGGTCCGTGGTCATTTGTGGT